GGTAGATACACATCTACGAATCCACAGTAGATTGGAATGATCATTCTTTATACATCTCAATAAATTCTCTCTTGAAGACCAATCATTCTGCCCACGCTGCACTGCAAGTTACTTCATCTGCTTCACCCTATCTAGAGTGTGAGGCGATTTTGTATTGCAACACTCACTACACACAATAGCGAGTATTCTCCTCGTCTGACTATTCCACGTTCTAGTCACCTCCGCGAACAGGTGAATCATACCTTACCTGGTCGGAATTCGACGTAAAAAATCTGGTCCCCCTACGACTATGACGCGAGAATCTCGGAGGCATACTCTTGGATCACCCGCCATGACTCCACCACGTGGTGCTCGGCCGTCAGCGTCGCGCCCACGGCGAAGCGGATCATGTAGACGCCATCAACTACCGCGTGGGTCATGTAGGCTTTTCCCGACGAGTTGACCGCCTCGAGCAACCTCCGGTTGAGCTCGTTGGCAGTCTCTCTCCCCGCCTGCGCCGGCGGAAGGAGTCGGAAGCAGACCATGGCGAAGGTCCGGGGGACGACCACTTCGAACCTCGCGTCTGCGGTCACGAGGCTCTCGAAGTGCTTGGCCATGGCGACGTGGCTGCGCAGGAAGTTGCGCAGGTTGGAGACGCCGTAGCTCCGCAGGACCATCCAGAGCTTCAGGGCTCGGAACCGCCGGCTGAGGGCGATCTGCCAGTCCTTGTAGTCCACCACCTGCTTCGACTCGGTGGCCTTGTTGCGGAGGTACTCGGGATTGGTGGAAAGCGCCGCCACCAGTGCCGCCGGGTCCTTGACCCACATGCAGCAGCAGTCGAGGTTGGTGAAGAACCACTTGTGGGCGTTGAAGCTGAAGGAGTCGGCGTTCTCTACGCCGTCGATGACGTGCCGGACCTCGGGCAAGATGCACGCGCCGCCGGCGTAGGCTGCGTCGACGTGCATCCACATGTTGTTCTCCTTGGCCACCTCGCAGAGCCCCGCCACCGGGTCGACGGCGGTGGAGGAGGTGGTGCCGACGGTGGCGCAGAGGAAGAGCGGCACGAGGCCGCGGGCCACGTCCGCCGCCACTGCCGCGCGGAGGGAAGCCGGGTTGAGCGCGAAGGCGTCCTTTCGTGTGGTGCCGACGGCGCGGAAGTTTTCGGGGTGGATGCCGGCGATCTGCGCCGCCTTCTGGAGCGCGCAATGGGTCTGGTCGGAGCCGTAGACGACGAGCTTGCCGATATGCTCGCGGCCGATCTTCTTCAGGACCCGATCGCGGGCGGCGGTCAAGGTGCAGAGCAAGCCCTCGCAGGTGGTGCCCTGGAGGACCCCGCCGCCGCCGCCGGAGAACAGGAAGGCCTCCGGGAGCCTGAGCATCTTGGCGAGCCAGTCCATGACGATGGTCTCGAGCTCGGTGGCGGCGGGGGAGGACATCCAGTTGAAACCCACGACGTTCAGACCGGTGCTGAGCATCTCCCCGAGGAATCCGGCGGTGCTGCCGCTGGAGGGGAAGTAGGCGTAGTAGTTGGGGCTCTGCCAGTGGGTTATACCGGGGAGGATATCATGGGTGATATCGCCGAGGATGGCTTCTATCGGCTCGGGGCCGTTCGGGGCTGCATCGGGGAGACGGCGGCGGAGGTAGCCGGGCTCCACCTGGCTGCGGACTGGATACTTGTGAACGTCACGGTAGTAGTCGGCGATGTAGTCAACCACCATATGTCCCTGTCGTCTAAACTCCTCGTGATCGAGTGGGTTTGTGGCGAAGCCGTCGGTGTTCGTCGCGACGGCGGCGGCGAATTCTGGGTTTTCGGTCTGGAGGCTGCCCATTCTAGAATCTCCTCTTTGCGAGCGAGTGGCAGTAACCTGATCTTATGGGAGCGGACTTGGGAGGAGGACGGAGAGGCTCTCTTCTCTGGTGGTGGGAAGGAGTGGGGAAGGGTTAGACCTTGTTGGTGCACATTAGGTGGTGGCAGGGAGCTTAAATAGGCTTGGCGGAGTGGGTGGGTGGAGGAGAGCTTTGACATACGACTAGGTTCCGTTTCCACGGGGGGAAATACAGCAGGGGTCGGTGCACGGCGTATGACAACAGGTCAACTTTGTGTAGCTCGTGGAAGGCGCTACAGATTTCGTTCGTGGTCGAGGATCTGCCAGCAGTCCGCTGTCTCCGACAGTGTTTTTGCAAATGCTTCAGGAGGGTGGGAGGAAGAGCCGAACTGATTGATGTCAGAAAAATCAACGGACGGAATTTTGCGCGTATGTTCTACTTAAAGCTATTCACGAAGTTAATATCAATGCGAGGAGATTATGAAAGGACTCGTCTAGAACCTTTTATGCTCTAATGTCACTATGCATAATCAGAATGATGATTCATTCAATTTCATAATATTATTATTTTCCTTGACTCTATCTTATCCTTATAATTTAGATGCGACATGCTTATTTATATTAATTCGTTTTGTATAACTTTTGTATATTCACAGTGAGCAAACGATGGCCAATGTAGGTCAATAAAGCCTCTTCTTGATTATGATGAACAAAGATTTACTGTCTACAAATCTTCTACGTCTGACCAGGTATGTTCTAGTTGTTCACGTGGATATGTTATTCGTTTGATTAAATCAGTAACACATAAATTGCTTAAAGGGTATGAAGTTTCAATCCATTATGAAAATAGTTCCCAACTTATGGCGCCCATAAATCCTCTTAACAATCAGAATCTTAGTCCTCTAGTGAACTTGCCCATAAATATTTTCCAATACTATGTAACTATTCATTTCTTCTGTTAATCCTTTTAAAATGACAGCATATAGTATTTACTTACATATGCGTATATAGAAAGAGATGATTTATAGTTAGGATTTTTTAATTAATGTTCCGTTACAAGTACTATGATGATGAGCTAATTGAGTATATTGTAACAAGCTTAAAATTAGAGGGATTCAAAGTCCGTAATAAAGATGCAATTTTTTAATCTTTTGATGATTGTAAGTGAATAGAAACTAATAAAAATGATAGTGATTTGATTGCATAACCGAACTTTATTGGTGAATGTAAATGCTGCATTGACTAATGGATTATGGTTTGAACTGGCCACCGTCGGTGTATTGCTCATATTACACGTAACCAAAGACCCCCCATCACCTTGTGGCACGTGATGGGTTGCCCCTTGGCATTGTCAAAAATATTGGCATAATTTGGAACCAATCAAAAATCGGGATAATGTGGCGCACCCCATGTGATTGGTTCCCCCTGATATTTCAACAAATATTGGCATTATTTGGAACCAATCAAAATTCGGGTGGCGTCTGGGGCACGCCAATTTTCTCGCAAATATTGACATTTTTATTTTATTAATAAATTGGGTATATATGCGAGAAAATGTACATACGACAAATTAAAGATACACCAATTGGAGGCCGAGTATTCCCTAAATAAGAGTCTCCTCTCGAATTAAGACACGAGACTATCGGAACCTGCACGGTCTTCTTAACATGTGCCCCAGTGGATGGATGTTTCTTGGTCGATAAGCCATTGGTTCGCATATCACGTGTCCCGCTCTAGTGGCTCTAGCTTCCGTGTTCCTCGTGACGCCTCCGCTGTTAAGCGGCACCGTGGCGGGGCCCACTTGTGGCTGAGCGGCCTCGCCCTAGATAATCTCAGTGAGCTTTTGGTGAGCAAGGTGGCGTTTTCTTGCATGCTAACGCCATTGAATGTCCCTTCCCTTCCCAGTTCATTGTCGGGAGGCTGCGGATGGAGCAGGTAATGAGAGGTCCATTCGCGGGTGCCAACATAACATCACCCCGGATTCCAAACCTGTCAACGCCCATGAGAGGAGGGAGAAAAATCTACTGTTTAAGTCGCGGTTTTCGAGCCTCTCTCTCTCTCTCTGGATCGCTGGCTCGCTGGCTATCTTTCGAGCGTGCAGTAGACCAGGGAGCGCGCACCCCTGCCAGCACAAAAGTGGAAGGACGTGGAATGACGCCTTGCCGGGACTACCGGGGAAGCGTCCTGGCTCCGGGCCCCCCCGCTGGCTTCATCAATTTCACCATTACAGCCGCCTCCAGATCGCCAGCCGAAGACTCGGTCGTTGGGCTTCCCCAAGTCTTACTTACCAACTAGCCCGATTACCCGTTATGTCTTCAGTGAGAGGTGGCGTTATATGTATAATGGTATAGATATATCTAGAGATAGATGCGTTGTAGTTAATTTCAATGGAGACAATTATATATGAATTATATATTATGGGACTATCATTGACTTAAATCCCATTTAAAGTGATTTACCGGAGTTTAAGCGTTTAGAATTAAGACATAAATGTGTAAAGACCAAGTCCCTCACTGGCGCCGAGCTGGAGCTTGACGTGAGGGTCTCCCCCTACCTGAAGCCTGAAGCAGCGGCAACTCGACCTGGCCGGCCTCCAGAGCCTGGAGACCTACCACCACCCCGTCAACGGCTTCCTCGTCCGCGCGGTGGCGCGCAGGGACGTGGTGCTGGTGAACAAGGCCTGCGGGCTACTGCGAGAAGAGCTGGTACCAGCCGGCGAACAAGGGCTCGCTCAGCAACGCCTACGGCCGGTGGGTGCTGCCGTAGGGGGAGACGGCGGACATCCCCACCCCCTCCCTGCCTAGATATATCCCGACCGCCCTCCCCTCCCTGGGATGTCAACGACTCGCCCTCCTCATTGACAGTAGCGTTCACCAGCTGGCTTTGACCTTTCATTTAATCTGTATAGAGATTACCAATTAAATTTAAGTATGATTTATTCATTTTTAAATGCCCAGTCTTGATATAATATCACAGCGCGAGAGACAGAGACACAGAGAGAGAGATGTGGGCCCGACGGTGGGCTTACCGGTCCACTAATACTCGGGATACGGAAATGTCGGCCCGGGCAAACGCCGCCCAAATTCAAAATTTGAATCCCAACTGACTGCAGAGGCCATCTTCACGGCGACAGTTCCTCTGTCTCTCGGGAAGTTCTATCCTCTCTCCCGGATATCGCCGAGTCTGGAGCTGGTCATGGCGATCGAGAAGAAGCGGCCTCTCCAGTCAAGTTCAGCGTACAATGTCGCCGCTGGCGATAGCGAACACGCGGCGGCGGCGGCGGCAGATGCTGGCTTCAAGTCGATTGAGGAAACCTACCAGAAGAAGACGCAGCTGGAGCACATCCTCCTCCGGCCGGACACGTACATCGGTTCTGTGGAGCGCCACTCTCAGGCGCTGTGGGTCTATGAGGAAGATCAGATGGTCCACCGCACCATCACATACGTCCCGGGCCTTTACAAGATCTTCGATGAGATTCTTGTCAATGCCGCTGACAACAAGCAGCGTGATCCGTCAATGGACGCGCTGAGGGTCGAGATCGACCATTTGGAGGGACGGATAAGCGTTTATAACAACGGAGACGGCATTCCCGTTGAGGTTCACAAGGAGGAGGGAGTGTACGTCCCAGAGCTCATCTTTGGTCACCTGCTCACCAGCAGCAATTACGACGATGATGTGAAGAAGACAACGGGAGGTCGAAATGGCTACGGGGCTAAGCTCACTAATATCTTCTCCACGGAATTCATTGTTGAGACTGCCGATGGTAAACGGCAAAAGAAATATAAGCAGGTACTGAGTCTGATGTTTCATGTATCATTCTTTCCTTAACAGCGGTTTTCCAACATCTTTTTTCGTCATCTATTAGACTCCCGTTTCATCGTCGGATCATACTCATGCTGTCCTGTTTTTTTTTTTTTTCAACCGATACTTGTTATCTACTGGGATCATTGAAGTACTCAAGTTGGAAATTGGATTTACTTATGTTATCCGCTGTCGTTTCTTCTTTTCACCCGTTTCTTGCAGAAATAAGCAAAAGATTACTCGTCGAGCTTACCCGTTTCTCTTAGTAAATTTCCTTTTGTAAGATTTTCTTAGTAGATCCTGATCGTGGTCAGCAATTTTATATGATCATTCTGTTTTTCCGTTTAGTTTTTTTTAGCTTAATAAATTTCTGTTTGATTCTAGTACTTTATTGCATATTACTATTATTCAAAGGATCTTGGAAGATACGATAACAATTAGGAACTCAGGTGATTTTAAAGCTCTTTTATGAAATTGTAAAAATTGATAATTTATTAACACTTTCTGATGATTGATTGTCGTGTGTGTAAGTATGATTTGACTTCCGAAGTACTTTCACAATGCAGGTTTTCTCAAACAACATGGGTTCAAAATGTGAGCCTGTCATCACCAAATGCAAAGAAGGAGAGAATTGGACGAGGATCACATTTAAGCCAGACTTACCCAAATTTAACATGTCTGAGCTAGAAGACGATGTTGTTGCCCTAATGAAGAAACGGGTTATTGATTTAGCTGGAACACTCGGCAAAACAGTCAAAGTCGAACTGAATGGGCAACGATTGCCTGTTAAAACGTTTCAGCAATATGTGGATCTCTACCTTAAGTCTGCAGATAAGAACAGGACCGATTCCTTACCTAGGTCTGAGAAAGTATTATGTTTTTTTTTTCGGACATTTAAATTTCCTTGAATTTTGTGCTGATAGGTTATCTGTTGGGTAGGATATATGAAGCTAACGACAGGTGGGAAGTTTGTTTCTCTTTAAGCGAAGGACAATTCCAACAGGTATACGTCAACAGGGGGCAGTCATGTGGAATACAGTCAAAATACTAGTTTTAGTGACGTGGTCTTCTTTTGTGTTTCTTAAAAAAACAGGTCAGCTTTGTGAATAGAATTTCGACCATAAAAGGGGGCAGTCATGTGGAATACATTACGAGCCAGATCACCAATCATGTGACGGCTATTGTGCACAAGAAAAACAAGACAGCCAATCTCAAGCCCCACATGGTGAAGAACCATGTGTGGATATTTGTCAATGCTCTTATTGACAATCCTGCCTTTGATTCACAAACAAAGGAAACCTTGACAACACGTCAGGGAAGCTTCGGCTCAAAATGTGAACTCTCACAAACATTTCTAAAGAAAGGTCTGTTTACTCTATCTATTGAGTGTCCAGCAGTCGAAATTCCACAGGGAAAATATTATGAAAAATGATGGTGACGTGTTATAATTATTTATGGTGCAGTAGCAGAGTCTGGAATTGTGGACACTCTACTCTCATGGGCTGACTTCAAGCAGAGCAAGGACCTGAAGAAAACTGATGGATCAAAGAGGCAGAGACTTGTTGGCCTTACCAAGCTTGAAGATGCAAATGAAGCTGGTGGAAGAAACTCAGACAAGTGTACATTGATTTTGACAGAGGGAGACTCAGCAAAGGCTCTTGCGGTGAGTGATCACAGCATCAATGTGTTCCAACATTAAACAGTAAGAACCTAACATTAAACCTAACTTTTCAGATGGCAGGAATATCTGTCGTGGGACGGGACTACTATGGAGTGTTTCCACTGAGAGGAAAACTCTTGAATGTGAGAGAGGCAAGCCATAAACAGATAATGGAAAATGCGGAGATTCAGAATATAAAACAAATTCTTGGACTGCAGCATGGGAAGCAGTATGATAGTGTGAAGTCTCTCCGATATGGGCATCTTATGATCATGACTGATCAGGTGTTGTAACCGAAACGCATACATTTATAACTGAGACACATATTTATTTCCTTGTTCCTCACAATCGTTCTTGAGTGACGCAGGATCATGATGGCTCACACATTAAGGGGCTACTTATCAATTTTATTCATTCATTCTGGCCTTCCTTGCTTAAAATCCCAACGTTCTTGGTCGAGTTTATCACACCAATTGTTAAGGTTTGTCCAAAGACTCAAATTTTGTTAAGTTTTTCCGATTCTACTTTTACTGAATCCAGGGTACCTCTGTACTCAGGCGACCAAGAAGGGTAGCAGAAGAGATATGGAGGTTTTATCTTTCTATTCTATGCCTGACTATGAACAGTGGAAGGAAACATTGGGTGACGGGGCAAAAGTGTGGAAGATTAAGTACTATAAGGTGTGTGTGTGTGTATATACGTTAGTTTGCGTTTTCTTTTGAGAAGACTGAGATTGAGACTATGTAATTTTGGGAATGCATCTTCGCTTTTGACAACAATCGTTTCTTACCTATTTCTTCACCAGGGGCTGGGTACAAGTGATTCAGTTGAGGGGAGGGAGTATTTCAGTAATCTTGAGCAGAATAAGAAGGATTTCGTTTGGGCTGATGAAGAGGATGGGAATGCTATTGAACTAGCGTTCAGCAAAAAGAAAATCGAAGAAAGAAAATGCTGGCTTCGACAGTTTGAGGTAAACCACCATTATGGTTCTATGCCATATGCAATATAGTTTTCCTGGTCCTATGCTTAATTTTCTCTTTTACTATTTTGCAGCCCGGCACTTGTCTTGATCAGAGAATGACACACATCAAATACAGTGATTTTGTAAACAAAGAACTTATTTTATTCTCAGTTGCAGATCTACAACGCTCCATCCCCTCCATGGTGGATGGTCTAAAACCTGGACAGAGAAAGATATTATATTGCTCCTTGAAAAAGAAAATTGTTGAGGATATCAAGGTACCTAGCACAACTGAATGATGATTTTTACATCTTCCTTCAGGATATTAAGGTATCTAGCCCATTTTCAAGGCAATATAAATGATCTGCTTTCTTCTACGTACAGGTATCACAATTCTGTGGTTATGTTTCTGAGCATTCAGCCTACCATCATGGTGAGCAGAGTCTAGCGACGACTATACTAGGAATGGCAAATGATTTCGTGGGCAGCAACAATATAAATCTCTTAGTGCCTTCAGGACAGTTTGGCACGAGGCTAAGGGTGAGATAACCAAAGAACAAATTTTTTGTTTAGGATAACGCATCTGTCCTAACAATTTACTCTGTTCTCAGGGTGGGAAGGATGCTGCGCATTCTAGATACATTCATACTCGTTTATCGTCAGTAACAAGATTTATATTTCACAAAGATGATGATCACCTTCTGGACTATCTGAACGAAGATGGCCAATCTATTGAGCCGAATTGGTAAGTTAGTTGCAGGACAAATCAACTTTAAGTTCCTGGGATTGTGACATTTACCCTGGGATTTGTTCTTCAGGTACATGCCCATCATCCCAATGGTCCTTGTAAATGGAAGTGAAGGCATTGGAACAGGTTGGAGCTCCTTCGTACCAAACTTTAACCCTCGAGATATAATAGCCAACCTCAGACGGCTGCTAAATGAAGAACAAATGCAGCCCATGATACCATGGTACAAAGGTTTTCAGGCAAGTAAACTGCTCCCTTAAATCATCTAGAGTCTTATTTTCGGGCTAAAAAACCTTGTCTAAGAGCGTTTTTCGGGAAAATCAGGGTTCGATTGAAAGGACATCCACAAAAGAGGCTGGAGTAACATATACTATCAGCGGTATAATTGAAGAAGTCGACGCTACTACATTGAGGATTATAGAACTCCCAGTTCGTCGTTGGACACAGGACTACAAAGAGTTTCTAGAGTCGTTAATTACGGGAAATGATAAGATAAAAGAACCTTTTATCAAGGTAAGTTGTCATGAGTTAATCCAGTTCGATTCTTAACCTTGGAGTTAACTGATTTCGCAAACATGGTGATTTCTTAATTTTTCAGGACTATAGGCAATACAGTGATGACAGAACTGTAAATTTCGAAGTATATTTAACAGAAGAGAATTTGAACGCTGCAAGACAGGAGGGCCTCCTGAAGAGATTTAAACTTACCACTACCATCAGCACGAGCAACATGCATCTCTTCGATGCAAACGGCACAATAAAGAAATACGATGATGCGGAACAGAGTAAGTTGCTGTTATGTCATTCCAATTAGCTACCGTTCATAAACATGTAAATTTTGACGATTTAAACTTTCCTGCAGTCCTCTACGAATTTTTCCAGTTACGATTGGTTTTCTACGAGAAAAGAAAGGTGAGGACCGTGCCATTCGTTCTAGCTTATGTCACAGCAGGAAACGAGACGAGACGCCAGACGTAATTTTCTGACTTTAATGAGGATCTTGCAGGCAGCTTTGTTGGCCATGCTCGGAACGGATCTCTTAAAGCTAGATAATAGAGTCAGGTTCATCCTTGGTGTGGTGAACGGCGACATAAAGGTGTTTAAGCGGAAGATCGCTGAACTTTTGCTTGAGCTGCAGCAGAAAGGCTTTACTCCCATGCTAAACAAACCGAAGAACCCCGATGCAGTCGCAACTGATGAAGGTGAAGAGGATGAGGGGGAAAGTACTGATCTACGGAAGGGTTATGCCTACCTGCTCTCTGTTCCGGTTGAATCCTTCACATCTGAAATGGTTGAGAAGCTCCTTGGGCAAAGGGCAAAACTGGAGTTCGAGATAGAAGAACTCAAAGCGTCCACTACCAAATCCCTCTGGTTGAAAGATCTCGACGCTTTCGCGGAAGCGCTTGATGCTTTCGAGAAGGTGGCGCCCCTCCACTTCACAGTTAATGTCTGATCTTTCTGTAAATAACACCTTCCCTTGTCTGCAGGAGAGAGAAGAGGAACTAGAAACGGTTAAACTCAAGGACCGCAAGGGTGCTCGTCATATCTCCACGAAGGTTCAAACAAAGCAAAGGAAGAAGAACGTCACCGCCGAATCTGCAGGTAATCAACTCTCAATTTTCTTTCCTGTACTGGTCGGTAATAATTTCAAGCTTCACGTTGTCTCCCCGCCGCTTCTTCTGAAGCAAGTACCGGTAACTTATGTACTTTAAGTGGAAATCATAACTGAGTTTGGTAGGCTAACTTATCTACTTCTTAGGGTGAACATCGATGACTAATAAGCGTAAATATGTTGGAAACATTGGGGCGGATTCGGCTAATCATACGGAATTTCAGTTCTAAATAAGTTTCATGAATTAATAATAATATGCTCGCGATTTTTTCTGAAAATTATTTTTATTTTCAGTTGATCGTCATAGCTTAAATGATCCGTTTGTCTTAGATTTACCTGATATAGGATTGCAGTTAATTCGAAAAGATTATCTTCAGGCTAATTTCAAATTTACTAGTTTTATATGATCTAATTTTTATGTCGGCTCGCGTTCTCGTTTCAGGAAATCTTCCAAAAGCAACGAAGCCGAGAGGCGCGCCGAAGAAAGCCTCTTCAAAGGTAAATCCTGAGGTCGATTGTTCCATAATCTTAGGACTACTTTAATCCCAAACTAAGTATCTCGATGGCTGCAGCGCCCTCAGGCGAAGAACGATGAAGACGATAACGACGACGATGACATCCTCGAACTCAAGGAGCGTCTGGCTCGCTATGATATTAACTCTCCGCAAGAAGAATTAGGTTAATTCCCTTAGTTTGGTTTTATACTCCGGTGCTCGCGTTATCTTCAGGCTGATGACTTCTCCAAGAACTTGCAGCCATGGAGACAGAGGGCAGTCGTCAGGAGGAACCCGCCAAGAGGCAGCTGCCGGGGCGGGCGGCGGTGGGAAGCTCTCTTCCCAGGCTCACCGAGATTCCCGACGACGAAGAAGGATTGAAAGACGAGGTGGAGGACGACGACGACGATGACGAGGACTTCGGGATGGAAGAAACCCGCCCCGCCGGCAGAGGAAGGAAGGGCGCCGGAGCAGGGAAAAAGCCAACAGCTCAGACCACTAAGGCCCCCACCGCCGCCGCGACAGCGGCGAGGAGAGGCCGACCGCCGGGCGGCAACAAGCTCATCACCGACGTCCTGAAGCCGGCGGAAAATGCCAAGGCGTCCCCCGAGAAGAAGGTGAGGAAGATTCGGCCGTCCCCATTCAACAAAAAGAGCGGCTCGATCCTGGAGAGGACATCTGGCACCAACTCTGCAAGTGAGGATAGCGGAGCCTCACCGAGCAGCAGCCCAGAGGAGGCGCCGCCGGCCAGGGCCCGGCCGCAGAGGGCGAACCGGGCGCCGACGAAGAAGTACGTGGTCATCTCCGAGTCCGAGAGCGAGGAGGATCACGCCGACGACGACTCAGACTTCCACGAAAACGACGACTGAGCAAAAACCCTACATACATAAAGTAAAATCCTTGTCTCACCTTCATCCACTCACCGAACTAACTAGTAAGTATTAGCTCAGTGGATTCTCCTTCTAGCGTCGTATTAGTCTCTCATGGCATTGGTCAGCCTTAAGGCAGGTCGGCCATGGAAAGAGGGTGGTCCACCTACCACTCCCAGGCCGGTGGCGAGGTGAGCGTGCCTGGCCAACCCCCATCAGTCAATGTGTTCTTATTCTTCCGCAGCGCTGTGCTTCCCAGTTACTGCAAGCTCCGCCCATGGTAATGGCCCTCGCATGGGTTCTCACCTCTGTCGGCGTCCTGGTCGCCACCGTCCTGGTTATCTGGAGGTGGACGAGGCGGGGACTGAACCTCCCGCCAGGTCCCCGGCGGTGGCCGGTGGTGGGGAATCTCCTCCAGCTGAGTTCCCTCCCCCACAAGGACCTCGCCGCCTATAGCGCAGCCTACGGCCCGCTGGTCTACCTCCGCTTAGGCGGCGTCGACGCCATCACCACCGACGACCCGGAGGTCATCCGCGAGATCCTCCTCAGGCAGGACGACGCATTCGCCTCTCGGCCGAGGACCCTCGCCGCCGTCCACCTGGCCTACGGCTGCGGCGACGTGGCGCTGGCGCCGTTGGGCCCGAAGTGGAAGAGGATGCGGCGGATCTGCATGGAGCACCTGCTGACCACTCGACGGCTGGACGCCTTCGCCGGCCACCGGGCGGCGGAGGCACGGCACCTGGTGGCGGAGGTGCGGCGGAGGGCGGCGGCGGGGGAGGCGGTGAACCTGAGAGAGGTGCTGGCGGCGTTCTCGATGAACAACGTGACGAGGATGCTACTGGGGAAGCAGCTCTTCGGGGGGGAGTCGGTGGGCGCGGAGGAGGAGGCGCTGGAGTTCATGGAGATCACCCACGAGATGTTCCGGCTGCTGGGGATGATCTACCTCGGCGACTACCTGCCGGCTTGGAGGTGGGTCGACCCCTTCGGCTGCGAGAGGAAGATGAGGGAGGTGGAGAGGAGGATCGACGACTTCCACTCTAGGATCATCGACCAGCACAAGAAGAAGGCCAGAGAGATGAGCCTGCAAGGAGCAGCGCCCTCCTGTGGGGAGATGGATTTTGTCGACGTTCTGCTCTCTCTTCCCGGCGAGGACGGGAAGGACCATCTCGACGACGTCGAGATCAAAGCCTTGATTCAGGTCTGTGCTAGGGTTTCTCTTCTTCTTCTTCGACGATCTCGACGACGCTCTCTCTTCTTCTTCTACTACTAGGGTTTCTTTTACTTCTTCAAGTGTTTCTTCTTCTTCTAGGGTCTTTTCTTCTTCTCCTTCTGAACAAGGATTGAACTGAAAATGGTGGAAGCAGGACATGATAGCGGCGGCCACGGACACATCCTCGGTGACGAACGAGTGGGCGATGGCAGAGGTCATCCGCAACCCCCGGGTCCTCCGGAAGGTGCAGGAGGAGCTCGATGCCGTCGTGGGGAGGGGCAGGCCAGTGGCGGAAACCGACCTCGCCGGCCTGAGCTACCTCCGCTGCGTCGTCCGCGAGACCTTCCGCATGCACCCTGCGGGGCCCTTCCTCATTCCCCACGAGTCCACCCGCCCCACGAAGCTCCTCAACTACGACGTCCCCGCCGGAACGAGGGTCTTCATCAACACCTACGCCCTCGGCAGGAACCCTCGCCTCTGGGAGGACGTCGACGAGTTCCTGCCGGAGCGCCACCTCCCCACCGCGGCGGATGGCGGCCGCGTGGAAATCAGCCACGGACCCGACTTCAAGATACTTCCCTTCAGCGCCGGCAAGCGCAAGTGCCCCGGAGCGCCGCTGGGGGTGGTCTTCGTCCTCATGGCGCTGGCCACCCTCTTCCAGTGCTTCGACTGGTTCCCCCCCGAGGGGCTTCTCCCGGAGGACATCGACACGACGGAGGTCTACGGGATGACGATGCCCAAGGCTAAGCCGCTGCTGGCCGTTGCCCGCGCTCGTGTATTCTTCGATGTCAATCAATAAAATGTTTCCAAATTACTTGTTTACATCAAACCACATCGGGGATGTAGCTCAGATGGTAGAGCGCTCGCTTAGCATGCGAGAAGTACGGGGATCGATACCCCGCATCTCCACTGAAGCTTTTTGACGCCCGTTATAAATGTAAATAGTGTTCTCTTTTAGGGCATTAATTAATAAAAAAAAAGAGATTCAAAATGACGGGCGCTAAATAATAGCCCTATATTTTGAATAATGAATAATAATTATACGACTCCACTCGCGGGTTTACTTAGCCTAACTTTGGCTGTCAATACTACTCTTTTTCAGATGATCCAGTCAACGCTTGCTCCTACCTACCAGGACCAGCTCTCTTTCAATAAAATAAATTCTCAAAATAATCCATAGTACATCATAATTGCGTAGACGTAGGTTTTCCGCCTATTATTTTTTACCTTAAAATATACATCAACTTAGTAGAACAGCAAGGTAATTTATTTTTAGATATTTATCTATATATAATATGCATAATTACGCAAGTTTAAAATATGGAAAATATGAGAAGAGAGAGATAGTTGGTGATGCCAAGAAATCAGCAGCAATCTCCTCCTTGATGCGTTGGGGTCCAGAAATAGGTAACCGTACTACCTTCCTCCCCACAACGTGGGGCTGCAACGGCAAGGAGGGGTTGCCCTTTAAATGCGTTTCCCTCTTCTCCCTCCTATCCATGGCCAGAAGGAACTCTGAGGGAGAGCCTCCCCTCCTCTCCCATCGTCCCCTCCGTCTCCCTCTGCATTAGCTTCTTCTTCTTCTTCTTCTTCTTCTTCTTCTTCTTCTTCTTCTTCTTCTTCTTCTTCTTCTTCTTCTTCTTCTTCCTTCGGAATTCGTTCAGCCGGGCAGGTTTCCGCCATTGAAGCGAGATGAGCAACCTACGCGCAGGCTCGTCGCCAGACTTTCTCCCTTCTTCAGACACTGACCTTCTCGACGACGACCTCGTTCTCCAAGGTACGCCGGATCTCCGCCCATTCTCGCCGCCGGTATCACCCTAAATGCCGGATAATGACGTGGGCTGGTTTCAGGGGCTGCGTCGAAGGTGAGGCTTCTGCTGAAGCTCGTCCAGGACTACGAGGCGGACCTTGGGAAGGCGCAGTGCAGCATGGCGGGGATCCTCTGCGTTCTCGACGAGGTCACGTCGGGGCTCGAGAGGTTCCATGCTCCGGCTCGCCGGAGGAAGGCCGAGCTGCGGCGGTGCAGCACCGATCTGTGCCGATCGGGCGAGCCCCCCACTGCAGGGCTTCAACTGGGAAAGGACCGGGGGCTGCCAGAGACGACGACGGTGGAGGAGAACCAGCGGCTGAGAAAGGAGCTGTCTGCCAGTCTGACGATGCAGAAGAACCTGCAGAAGATGTTCTCCAACCAGGGGAAGGAGAAGGAGATCATGGGGGGAGAGCTGGCGAGAAAAGCCCAGGAGCTCCAGGATATCGAGGAGCATCTGAGCGACGTCAAAGCCCAGAACGAGAGGCTACTGGAGAAGGTGAGGCTCTGTGCCACGGAGCACAAGGAGAAGAAGAGCAGGGGAGGAGGAGACGCCCCCCCAGCCGCCTGCGAGCAATACCTCATCGACCGCAACAACACGCTCTCCGAGCAGCTGATAAGAACGCTAGACGGGTACCGGGCTCTCAAAAGGAAGGTTAAGGATTTGCAGGAGGAGAAGGCCAAGGTGCAGGAAAAGGTAGCGGAGATGGCGGCGAGGATGTCGAAGGGGTTTTGCCATATCCGGGACTTCTGCCGGCGGCTGGCGACGGGGATGGGAAATGCACCCGCAGAGGACGACGACGTGGAGGAGGATATCTCTTCCATAGAGAACGTGCTCCGCGGCTTGATGGCCAATATGTCGTCGGCGGTGGCCGGAAGGGTGGGGAACATGGAATTTCCGAAGGCGGTAGCTGTGGCAGAGGTTCCCACCGGCAGTGGCAAGCCGTCGGTGGTGGCATGAGAGAGAGAGAGCAGAGACCGAGCTCCGACATGGAGATCACTTGCACGGTTTTTAGCGTTCTGTGTATACTTCTTGCTGGTTTTCCTCCCGGGGAAATCTTCTCTAGTTCCCTTCTTCTCCACGAATAAATAAACCTTCGGCTATCTGTTTGTCTATGCAATTCGGAATCTTTAGGCTGAAAGAAAGAGTACAATCACGAAATGGACCCAATATTATCATGTTTAAGAATGGATCAAACTCATACAGAAATTCGTTGTGTAAAAACTACCGTCAGTTGGGAAATGTTTTATGAGACTATAAGTGAAAGAAGCATGCAATCAAAGTATGCTTCTTTCCATAAACAGACTATTTTTATCCCTAACTTGAAATCCCCCATCTCAATATAGGCCTTGTTAAATCCTCTAAATGAGATTTAATAGTCATAGAGCGAAAAAAAATATCTTAAGCATATAAGTAGACTACTTTCAAGCAAAATTTTGGTGGAAGTGATGTGGCATCACGATAAGATTAATCTTCGAAAATTAAATGCGATATTATTTTAGATGTGATTCACAACACAGTAAATGTTTCACCTTTGTATTATCAATATTCTTAAGCACACACTAAATCGCAAAATTTAAGCAAAATGAAGAAGCGGGCAATATTCTGAAAGACAACAGTTACAAATTTTTCATTACTATATTGCTTGCTTAATGTTGAAAAATACATAAAAAGGTAACATATAATTTTATACTATCGAAATCATAGTAGAAAGATATTTTATAACACCTAGATTATATGATTTGATTTTTAGGGGTACATTAACTTGATCACATGAGATGCTGTGTAAACTTGGTAATGGAGATGATAGAACTAAGTCTACTATTGATGAAATTTTATTTCTTTTTTGGGAAAAAAATACCTATTGAGTTTTCAAGAAACATTTACATCTTAAAATTACGTTGAATGCTTCAGTATGATCCCCTATGTTTCCCTTGGTATAACAAGTCTCAAGATCGGCTGGATGAACTTATAGATGATTTAATTCAAAAGGATAATTTTTGTTGAAGCATTGATATTGTTTAAAAAACCCTCAAATTAGCCAACTTATTAACATGTACCTTTCATCGTATGTCCCTTTCTAGCTACTGAACTTCTTTTTTTGTCATTTCATGAAGACTTAATCTATTGGGCTCAGTTTAATTAACCTGAAATACGAAGGCATCAATGTTACCCCTAACTTGTCTCAATATCAATAGTAAAACGTTTGTTTCCTCCATCTTTCTAATCATGAGATGTGATGCCGCTAAAGTCTCCCTAATTTTATATCCTACCTAAGTGCTTACATTTTACTATGCATAAAGATCATTTTGTCTTTTCAGAATACAACTATGTGACGATTAATCTTTAATAGTCTATTTATATTTACATGTTAAGAAAAGCTTAATTTCAGAACCCACAAAACAGCATTAAAAGATGGTGGTCGTTAATAATCCCCTAATTTCAAGAGAAAAATTATTATCAAAGTATTTTTAAAAAACTGAAATCTATCTATAAAATAATTGAAATATACTATTAAAATTTCACAAATGGATAGATGGAACATTGCCCTTTTATTTCTAACTTACGAAGTTGACTAGCATGATCACCTTTGAGATTCAACGGAAAGATAGGCTTTTGTAAATTAAGTAGCCGGACTAGCCCATGGATCAGCTCTCATAGTGGGGAAATCAGAGTAAAGCCAGGCGCAAAAGAGGGGGTTGACTTCGTAATGGGATCAATCAGATTCGCCCACTGGTAAGAAAGGCAGTCGGTTTTCCTTCGGAACCTTGTTGTCGCTAAGAAACCTTTCATGGTAACTCCATCTCCATCTGGGCTGGGCCGCAATTTTAAGAATAAATGATGCTGTACGCGGTGAGCGTAATTGAAATCTTACTGAGTTTAGAAGCTGAACTCTCGCACTAGCCCATTCATCCGGCCCACAATTTCTAGCCCATATCAATGGTCTGCGTGGCGCACTCACGGCGGTCCACACGTAATCGACGGTATTGTCCAGCCCTCTTCAGTCATGTCACGCGTCGTCCCCATACAGGGAAAGTCGGCGGCTTTAAATCAGTAATTAAATATTACGTGTTCACAGAAGGTGGCGTCAGGAGGGCGTAATCAGCCTCTTCCGACAGTGGAACCCGTGCCGTCCCGAGAATCAATGCCCTACAACCCGTAGACCAGCGACGTGGCCATGCGGCTAGCCCAGGCTTTGCAGGCCTGATCTGACGATCTGCCGGAGATGAAGCCGGCTTGGAAGCGGTAATCCGGGTACTCCGGCGAGGAAGGAATATGCATTTGGCAGAGGAGGGCTCCTCATTCAGGAAAAAAAACCCTCTGGATTCTCCAGGGTTTTCGGATTTGAAAACCCCAGGTGGCGGAAATGAAGGTGGGGGGTTCTTGTCCTTCTGCCTCCTCGAGCTGTGGGGAGTTGCTGCTGATCTGAAAGGCGTGGGGCGTTTCCGGGAGGACGAGCTCCCTCGACGGCATCGATCCGATTTGATTGTCTGGTGGTTTGATTTGACACTCGGTGGCCCGCGCGAGCCAGCCGCCGGGGAGAGAGCGAGAGAGAGGATGGCGATGGCCGGTCCCCCGGGGGCTACCTTCGTCTTCGTTTATTGCGGAGGGTCAGATGGCGATCGAGGAGCTGGTCAGAAGAGGGGAGAGCGGGGGGGGTATACATTAATGGGGATGCTGAAACCGGTGTCGAGATATTTTAGATGACAAGCCGGGGACGAAACAGGAGATGCCAACGATTGATGGCGACGACGAAGGGATTCCTTCTTAGCTCAAAACCCTCTCGCTCTCCCTTATTTTTCTGGTTTGGTTTGGACTTCAAAGATGGTAAACCAGACACCTCGGGTCATCTCTGTCCCTCTCTCTCCGTGTTATTATCTCGGGGTTCACATCTCGAATCAATTCTGGCGGACGAAGATGGATAGCGGCCACCACTGGCAACCACGTTGCAGTTTCAAACAGACAGGAAACTTGGAGAGAGCAAGACACAGAGAAGGGAAGAGTGAAGGAATAGTCAAGCTGATGTGCCGATACAGAAATTCGCCGGGAACGAAATGCCCTGCAGATCTACCCAGTATATCAAAAGTCAAACACGAAAAGAGAAGAAAGCGACGTGTACTTGAATAAGCAAGACCCGGAAGAACGAACAACAGACGCTGTATCGCCGTCAACCGCCTCGTCTCCTCCCATCTTCCTGTGACCACCACACTTCAAATCCACCACCCACCATAAAAGAAGCTCCTTTTCTGTTCCCCGAAAAGAATCCCGGCGTCGAACCGGAGTACCTCCAAGAATCCGTCATTCATTCGCCTGAGCCTTTCCCTGACAGGGGATAAGGCCGGGCCTTAATCACAGCACAGTTCTCATTCCTCCGCCGAGTCTCCTACTGCCATAATTTTCTCCACCATGCCCGTGGCCATCCCCGCACGCCCTCTGTACCCAAAAGTTACAGGCACCTGCGATGGACAAATCGGAAGAAGAAACCAAACTCCTTCCTAATGAAGGTCAACGATTCTGTATTTACGGCGTAATCATGTCAATTGAAGTTCAAGACACTCGAATCGATCAAAAGTAGAAGTCAAAAGACGACCGGTGGGACTTAGCACCCCCACGGTGCTGCTCCCGGCAGGACTTCGAACGAGCGGAGCACGGTGGCGCACCGGGCACAACCGGCGGCGGCTGCGACCGAAGCAACGCAAAGTTGAGTCCCTCGAAGAAGGGGTGGCTCTTCAGCTCCGCTGCACCGCAGCTGGAACCAAGACGCGCCGCTGGGTCCTTCTCCAGCAGCGCGGAGATCAGCTCCCTCAATCTGACCTCACCAGGCGCCGCCGCCGCCGCTTGCTGTGGGAAGGTCAGCGGAGATTGCACAATATTACGGAGTGTGGCCGAGTTGGTAGGTCCGGCGAAGGGAGTGCAGCCGTAAGCCAGCTCGTAGAGGAAAACCCCGAAGGCCCACCAGTCGACAGCGGCGCCATGGGCCCCGCCGGCGGCTACCTCGGGCGCCACGTATTGGTGTGTGCCGACGAAGGAGCAGGAACGCGCTTCCACCGGCTCTGCCACGAAAAACCGGCCAGCCGCCGACGAAGAAGACCTCGTAGAGCGGCTCCGAGATAAACTGTCGGGGCCGATCCGACTCGGGTCCTTGCCCCCCCACGGCCTCATGAAACGAGACAGCCGCTGAGGAAGACACAGCGACCACCGACTCTCATTGGACTTGGGTAACCACGGTGTGCCTCCGCCGCAACGGTCGGGAGAATATCGGACAGCAGGGGAAGCGATTGACTCCAGAGAGAGGTCGAAGTCTGAGAGCATGATGTGACCATCTGATCTTATCAGCACGTTCTCCGGCTTCAAGTCACGGTAGACTACGCCAAGCATGTGGAGATACTCCAGCGCCAGGAGCACCTCCGCCCCATAGAATCTGCAGAAATAAGCAGAAACCAGTGAATTTCAGCAGACAAGGAATCTGATCAAATTAGCTGAACTAAGAAGCGAGAAGTACCTCACGGCAGAAAGGGGGAAGCGCTTGGATGGCTGGCGATGGCGGAGGGAGTAAAGATCGCCGCCGGAGCAGAATTCTATGACGGCGCAGGAGAAGTGCGGAGGGGCGTCGAAGTCTGCGTAGAGCGTAGGGAGGAAGGGGTGGTCGAGTGCACTCAGGACGCGACGCTCTGCCTCTGCCCGACCCAGCTTCTTCTTTTTCGCAAGCTCTCGTTTGTCAACAACTTTCATGGCGTAGAACGGCGGCGGCGAGGGCAAGGACGGAGAATCCGGCCGGTGAAGATCGTCCCGAAGACGGCAGAGATAGACCGTCCCAATGTCGCCGCTACCAAGGCGGCGGACAAGCTTGAAGTCCTTGGGGCCGACGATGGCACCGATACTGCGGATGGCCGCCCAGGCGGGATCGGATGAGCGGTGGGGCTTCCGAGAAGGGAGGGAGAGTAGGCGGCGGCCATCTTCGGCAGCCGATTCCTTTGGCGGCGGCTTCTCAGACAACAGGGAGAGCCCTCGTTCCGTTGCAGCTTGCAGAGGAACGTCCAAGGCGGAGGACGCGCGGGGAGAGAAGCTGCTGCATCGGCCGCAGAGGCTGCCGCTACTGGTCATCGATGACGCGGAAGAGGAGCTCTTGTTATAGCGGGGGGCGCTGTATCCGGCGTCCCCATCCGACTCGCCCGGCATCTCTTGCCGAAGGTGGGAGCAGAGGTTGAAGAAGTTGGGAGCAGAGGTTGAAGAAGTTGGGAGCTATCCCCTAACAGCGAGAGAGGAAAGCAGAATAGAGAAATCAGAAAGTTCAATGGTCGCCGGAGGATCGCTGGCCATGGTGTATTTATTGGTGCCTCCGCCATGTCCTTCGCTATCACCGACGTCTCACACTAGCTGTCGTTGTATACTCTCTCTCTCTCTCTCGCTACGCTTGATGTTGTGCCTGTCATGGTCCAGTACTGCTGCTGCCCCTCACTCTCCCTCTCCTTTCTCTCTCTAGACTGCAATGTGATCAGTGATTACGTTATCGGAGGCCTTAGGCATCGTAGGCTTCTGGAAGAACGGAATCCCTAGCTGGTTACTTCTGCGGGGCTAGTCTCGTCCTTCTCGACTTCCTCCCCTCCGACGCTGTACGGTCGGATGAATACTCTGAACGCTGCAGTCAAAGCGAGCAGCCGGCACGTGACACGCCTGCGCTGCCCGCACGCGGGGAGCTGGGTCGAGCTCCCTCGTCGACTCGGGAGGGTAACCGAGTCAACGCCACACACCTCAGATAAAAATTACTCTTTTTGGACGCGTGGGAACGATTCCACCGCGGCGGCGGCGATTGCCGAGCTCTGAAGAATAGAATACATGCGATGGGCTTCCCCCCCTTGGACGGACACCGATGAAGAGACGGTCACCGCCGCCGCTACCGGCTGCCGCAGGCGATGGCTCGATCCAGCTCGAGATCCCGGCATGTGAAAGGGGAGCTGACGCCCTTCACCCTGCCGGCCGGGTCAAACTCGACCAAGATGGCCCGCGTTGAATGCCGCGGCCCCATTCACGGCTCCTTCTGGCGGCGATGGCCGCCTGACGGCGGAGCTGTCCCCGCCAAGGCCGGACAGGGGCGCCCCCACTTCGCTGGCACCTGCCCGGCATGCAGGGTGCGCGAATCTCCCCTTCTCTCTCTGTCTCTCTCTCTCTCTCTAAAGTAAACTCGCTGGGTTGGACCGGGACAAAAGTTGGGAGCTGAGAACAACGAGAGTTAATGCCGGGGCGAAGCTGTCGCAGGCGTGAGTTCGTTCCCATGTGGAGCTTGTAGGCTGAGAACGACGAAGCGACCACAGTGGACTGATTATCGCCGGAGCCTCGTAAAAATCTTTTTTCGCTGTGGTTAAACGGTCAACGCTAGGCTGCTTGTTGCTGTCGGCTCAGGTTGACCGGGAAATCCCAGGAGATTATACCCACCACCGGCGTTGATGTCTAAGCTGAGAGTCAGAAGAGAGATAGCAAGAGAGAGAAAGATAGATAGATAGATAGATTGATAGCTAGAGAGACACAGAGAGATGGAGTTACGAATGACCTCGCCGACCGCCGGCGACTGGTGGGGGCGGCGACGGCGGGCACCCCATGCCGGCGAGGCGCCGTCAGCGTCAGAAGAAGGTGACGTCGACTAGGCTTAGCCGAGGCGGAGGAGGGAGACTGGCGAGCCACCGGATGGCCGAGAACAGCCGCCAAAATTAAAGGCTGCCTTTCGATTACAGCAGGGGCCGAGGAGCGTTCACCTGTGCTTCCTCTCTCGTCAGATACAATTTGACTGTCAGATCATTTGATGATCACCAGAACGGGCCGGGGAGTTGGCGCGGCGTGGCCCCGCTGCAGCCTTTGCGACGTCGTGACGGTAAGATCAAATCTTTTCTGCAGTCGTGACGCCATCATGATGAGAGAGAGAGAGAGTAGAACCTGGTGCGAAATGCTAGTAGCACTGATTACCGGCGATTTATATAACCTGGTGCGAAATGGACTGCTGGAGCTTGGGCTTGGGCCATGCTGACCGGCCCACACGAGAGAGAGAGTAGTTGCGTTGGGGACAGTGGACTTTGGCCCAAGTCAACCAATCACAGGTATCTCTCTCTCATCTGGGCCGGTCAGATACAGACAGAGAGGGAGAGAGAGAGAAATGAGCAGATCAAGTTGTCTATCAATAGCTGTTAGGATTGGATGTCGGCTAATACTCACCGACCCAGGAGAGAGAATGGCTGAAAGGGTCGGACATGGCCCAACATACAGGACCCACGTTAGAGAGAGAGAGAGTAGGTGTGGGGTTGTTTTGGGCTTGGCGCAATACTACGGCCCACGTTGGCGAGATTAGAGAAAGAGAGTAACCATCTAGTTAGATGAACAAACTAAAATTATCAAAAAATATATCCTATGGGAGGCCTGGTTGATTACGTTAAACTCCATCATGCTGGAGAGCGATATCTCTAACTACTGCTGCTCCAATGGCGGCAGGAGGCCCCTCTCCACAAGACGCAGAGTAAGCCACCTGGCCTCACTAGGGAAGCCCTCCAATACCAGCTTTTCTCCCACCCTCCGGCAGAGCTCGACGTCGGGGACCAGGTTCCTCTGAAACATCCTGCCGGCGACCTTGTACGCCTGCAAGGCCAGGCCTCTGCTCAGATAGCTCTCGATCAGGAGATGGCAGGTGTCGGCATCAACCTTGGAGGCGGTCCTCAAAACCCTACCCAGCACTTTATAAGCTTCCTCCAGATTCCCGAAGGCACAGAGCTTCTCGATGACCATGTTGTAGGCCGTCCTGAACCCCTGCCGGGCCAGCATCCTCTCCAGCAGTCGAAGTAGCTCTTCCACCCGCCCCTTCTCGCAGAATCTGTGGATCACCGTCCGGTAGGTGACGGGGGAGGGGGATAAGCCTCTCTGGAGCATCGTCTTGGCCAACTCCGCCGCTTCTTCAGTCCGATCGGCCCTCGCCAGCGCGTCGATGATCACCGTGTAGGTCACCACGTCGGGATGCCTGCCACTCAGATACATGTCGTCCAGGAGGGACAGCGCCGCCGGCAGGTCGGCCTCCCGGCAGAAGCCGTGAATCAAAGTCGTGAAGTTCACCACGTTGATCGGGCAGCCTTTGCTCTGGCAGGCCTCCATGAATGCCTTGGCGCCGCCGGCCTTCCCTGCGCTGCAGAGAGACTGGATCAGGGAGTTGATCTCGGCGGGAGTGGGGCAAAAACCCTTCCCAATCATCTCCATGGTTAACTCGCAGGCCTCGGGCAGCTTCCTTTCTCTCCGCAGCCCGTGCAGGACGGCACTGTATGTGACCCCCGTCGGCGTCCACCAGTCCTGCTCGCTCCTGTGCAGCATTTCTCGGGCCTCCATGGAGCTGCCGACTCTGCATAGACCCGTCAAGAAGCTCGTGTAGGTGACGACGTTGGGCCGGCAACCTTGCCGGTGCATTTGCCGGAGCATCCTCCTGGCTTGGTCGATCTTTCCGATCCGGCAATACCCATTGATGACGGCGCTGTAGGTGACCACATCCGGGATGCAGCCCTTGGAGAACATCTCCCTCACGACCTCTCTGGCCTCCTCCATCCTCCCCTCTTTGCAGAAGGAGTGGACCACTGAGCTGTACCCAACCTTATCGATCCGGAAGCCCTTCTCCTCAGATTCTCGGAGGAGCAAGAGCGCTTCTTCCCCATGACCGTGCTTGGAGAGCCCGTGGATCAGCATGTTGAAGGTGACCTGGTCGGGGGGCAGATTGGCGTCGCGGTCCATCTCCTCCAGCAGCCGTCGAATCTCCGCCAATCTCTTCTCCTTGCAGAGGAAATTCAGCACCGTAGAGTAGCTGATCCTGTCCGGCGGAGAGCCCTTGAAGGGCATCTGGCGAATCGTCTCTAGGGCGTCGTCCAGACGGTGGAGCTCGCAGAGGCCTTTTATCAAACAGTTGAAGGTCGTGGCGTCGGGACTGATCCCAATCCTCTCCATCCTATCCACGAATCTCTCGGCCTTCTCCAGCCGGTTAGCCACCACCAGGACGTGGACGGTCGCGTTGCAGATTATCAGATCAGGGTCGCGCCCCTCCTTCTGCATCAAGTTGAGCACCCTCATGGCGCTCCTGAGCTTGCCCGCTCGGCTGTACGACACCATGGCGTGGGCGAAGTCCTCGGTGCGGCGTTCAACCCCATGCCTGATCATCAACCGCAGCACGCGCCGAGCGGCCTTGCACAGCCTGGTCTTACCGAGGAGCTCGATCATGGCGTGGTAAGCCTCTGGGCTGTGGCGGTAGCGCCACTGCCGGTGTGCCCAGAAGAAGAAGTCGACGGCGAGGCGCTCGTCCGGCAGGGAACGGAGGATGGCGCAGATTTGAGCCGGCTTGAGGCTCCGCAGCAGGCGCCGTAGCTCCCTCTCGAGGCTAAGGTTCCATTGGTGCCGGAGCCCGATCAGACGGCAGGTTTCTCTCACTAGGGGATGTCTCGACTCGGCATCGTCTTCTTCCGCCTCGCGAGCTCTCCCCGACACTCCCATTCGCCGGCGCGGGGCGCTGACGACGCCTTTGAAGGAGTCCAGAAACTCAAAGCAAGCGTCATCATCGCCGCCGGAGTTGCCGTGTTCTTCCTCGTCCGAAGATGACGACGACTCCTCTCCGCCGCCATCGAAGCCAAATGCCTGGCCGAAGTGTACGCCACCAAGCTGAGAGTCCAAGTTCTCAGGACCCTTTTCCTCGTTCCATCGATCTTCTCTATTGCCTATATTTCCCGATCCCCTGGGGAAACCCTCGTGGGATACACCGGCTGAACCAAGGCGGGGGAGCGTCTTCGCATCTCTGATAATCGACTGGGGATCGACATTACCACTGAGACCGGCGAAGGAGGCACAGGGGGAGAACTCTACATCGGGGATTTCCCCGGCCACGGAGAACTCCGCCGAGGGCTGAGCGCCCCCATAGATGCAGCAATTGCAAAGGCGGACGAGAAGGACGGTCCTCGGATAATCGGCCAAACCCCTCCAAGAGGTTCCCTGCATCGAGGTGGTCTCCGTGTGGAAAAACACCTCATCAGCTCGTGGGACGAGCTTCAACTATGTACTTTACTCCTCAAAACGGAATTGCCAGAGCCCGGCGTTCCTACTCCTCTCTCTCTCTCTCTCTCTCTCTCTCTCTCTCTCTCTCTCTCCGGGCACATCTCTGTGGTAGCTTATAATATGCATAATACTATGCTGCCACTTATTTTTCAAATCCTAACTCCAATATTAATCATTTCCATCTTCCTTCAAAGTTGCAGTTTTTTTCTTTATTCGTTATGACGATCCCTTCAGAGAGTAAACAGACGCAGTGGTCAAACAGCGGTGCCTAAACTTTTTCTTAACACAAAAAAGCGATCTGAATAACTAAATTCCTTCTATGGACAGTAACTTGGTCTTTACAAGATAAAAATAGAATTTTTTTAAAATAATGAGGATCCACCAGCTTGAATGAGAGTTGACTAAACACTACTAAAGATTCTCTTCGCATTATTCAAATTTGCTGCATTAGGTTCACTTGAGAGTTGAATTATTTCACTGGATCCATTTAAAAGGGTATATAAGTTAAGGACCTGCATACTAGGCTAATTATCAATAACCATATTGCCATGTTTAGACCCATAACTTCCCAAAAAGCCAGCTTGCTTTGAATTGACACATTCTCTTTTAGTCCCTAGGGTAAAATTCTATGGCAAATAATTGGCATTAGTGAGTTGGACTCTAGTTGGCACGTGGCCATAGTTCAAAAGGATAATCCTACCCTTATGCATGAATTATGTAATACACTCCTCCCTTCATAGTATTGTTCCTTGTATATAATCCCTTCATTGAGCCCTCAATGGATTGTCTATGCAGTTGTCTATGCATTGTTGACCCATCACTTCTGCAAAGGCTTCCTTGGTTTTTCCTTGAGCGCTGTCACAGTGGGCTACCTCATATATGCCATTCATCTACTCGTACACTATCATTTCAAAGGTGATGGACACTACAATCTTTACCTTCAGTTATCTTGGGTTCAGCAACTACTATGGCAAACAAATTCGGTGCTGACATCTTTTTTAATTATGATAGGTACAGATCTTGCATTAATAGATAAATTTTCTATATTTAGTCACATGCATGTTAAAGTTTCCTTTCTATTTCATTATGATATCCATATAGAAAATATACAAAAACTATATAGTTTAAGCAACATATCTGCATGAGGCATGCATATTGAAAAGTACATCTTAAATATTTGGGGAATAACATATATGTACAAGAGACCAAAAAAAACCCTATAGATTGGGAATAAAATTAATTTTTTACCATTACTGGAAGATTTTTATGCCATTACAAAACGAGGCACATGAAAACCAATTTTATTTTCACATGGGTATTGAAATTTAATCTCTTGGTGATTCAACAAAATCTACACTAATTTCACCATATTTTTACAATTTATTGACGATGTGTAAATTTTGTATTGCATATTACTGTTGACAATATGGTTTCGTACAAACTTAATAGTGTTCTTTGATTAATATTTTTTTCTCAAATTATATTCTTGATGATAAATATGGGCATTATAATTATTACAAAGCTATTTGAATTGTGTTTTAACTTGAAATTTTATGATTTAGAAAGAGTTTTATCAAAATCCTCATGCATAATTCATAGAAAGTCTGAATTCCCAAGTTACTATTATTAAAAGAAAAAAGAAAGAAGTGACTGTCAATTTTAATAAACTAGAAGGCCCTAAGGGTTCATAACTCTCATTATGTAGTGGGGGTGATAACATAACTGAAGACCCAAATGTCTGACGTACTTCCTCTCCCATCAACATAAACAACATCTATGGTTGTATTGAAAGTATGCAGTATTGATGAATTTTTAGATATACTTACTAGCTCGAAATAACCTTTTTAATGTACTTGATAGTTTGGAGCTTGTTAAATTGTTGTGTTCTGAGTAATTATGGGGTTATTTAATTGAATATATTAAAATATCATTTATTAAAAAATTATGCACATTAGATGAAGATGATATTTTTATTAAATATATATAAATATATAATTAACATGATTAAATTATGTTTAATTGTTCCTAATATATACATATTAAGTAACATAAATTGACCAATGAGAGGACAATCTTGTAATTCATTATATTTCGCAGGTGTTAATAACATGATAAGGCAATATTATAAGAATATGCTATGCCCTTAAACCAAGGAGTCACAAAAAAGGGAACAAAGATTTTTAGGGAATTACTTATCCAATAAAAAAAGAGGAATGTATTGATAATTTGCAAAGTTTGTGAGAAGGAAGAAGTTAAAAGTTGGATTTTATAATACTAATAATTCATATGATAACCTCTTATGATATATCCTCTTAAGAATCCAAGTATGAGAAGGCAGACTATCAAAGCTTAGACCTGGTCTGGCTGCAAATTGGGTTGGGGAAAACCTAAATTTTTGCAGCTTACGGATAGTTTGGTGCATATTGGCTCCCCACTCTGCGTGGGTGCAAATTCCGTAAAATTGATAGCAAGGATAAATATCTGATTTTTCAATAAATTTTAATTTTTCAATAAATTAATCGTTCAAATTCTGTTGTCCGTCAATCATGAATGGGTGACGAAGTAAAATGCATCCCAAGAAACATAGCATACTGATCTCCATTCAATTTGATCGAAAGGGTAGAAGAGCGATCTTCAGTGCTTTATTTTTAGAATAATTATTGAGAGGTTGACCATCATCAACTTTTTATTTTAAATATGTTTAATGAATAAATAATTTTACAGCTTTACATCTTCAAGCGTAACCACAAGGGCGTATCTACAAGGAACCCAGCCGGCTGACACTTTTTTCTGTTTTTGAGTTTGGGCTTTCGAAGACCAAGCCGCGAGCAAGAACTGGTTCAATTCTTGACCTGATCCATCTTTAGGCCCAGCTTTGGTCTGAATCAGATGTGCCGTAGACGTAGCAAACCCACTGTCCCAATTAAGTTATGAGACATTCAGATCTCTCCCTCTCTCTCTCTCTCTCTCTCTCTCTCTCTCTCTCTCTCTCTCTACCTCACTTACCTCATTTATCTCGCTTGTACGAAGGTCTGCACTAGGGGAAGCTGGAAATAAAAACGGCCTGGCCCAGAATCTCATTTACCAGGACTTCATGTCGGGTCCTGGACTTCATGAAAGATTCGAGGTCACAAAAGACTAGGCAAAGCCCAAATCTTGTCAAACCAGCACATTGACAGACCTAGTAGTGAGTGATTTAACGGTTCCATAGATATATATATATATATATCTCCATCTCTCTCTCGCCCTCCTTCCCTCCCTCACACACACGGCAATCCAGAGGATCATATGAAGGGTAGCATTAGGATAGGAGACGGAGTCTTAAGGGTTGCAAGGCCCGGATATAGCCCATCACGCCTGTTCGTGAACGATATAGGAGTCCCATCCCGAGCGTTTTTGGTATGTGTCCTTGTCTGTCTGTCTCTCTCTCTCTCTCTCTCTCTCTCTCTTTCTGTGCAGTTGGGAAGTCCGAGTAGAGTTCCTCTCAGAGCCGTATGACAACCAGTTAAAACTACATGTATAGGTTGAGTTTATCCGAGATAGACCGGCTATAGATAAATTCGGATTAAGTCGCTCAAGTTGTTTGACCAAAAAAGTGGAATGGTCGGAACCCAGCCTGATTAGAAGTTTCAACTCAAGTCCCTTCAGTGAAACGCAAGTCAACTTAAGTTAACAAATGACGGACTACGAGTACTATGGAATCGAAAACTTGGTTAAGTTCGTCAGAAACCGAGGCTAGGTTAACCTAGTAAACTTAGACTTCTATGCTCGCAGGTTATCAAACTGGCCCTAAAAGATTTCCATGCTCTCAGTAGACTCGCCAACCCCGGACCCAGTCTCGTCCATTGACTCGCCAAGTAATGAATGATGAAACAGTCCCATGTCTCTCTCTCTCTCTCTCTCTCGACCCCTCTCTCTCCCGGTCATAATCTCATAAACAGGCATATACGAAGGCATGCATCAGTGGAGGCCTAAAAGTCATACGGATCTGGGCCAGTAATGACGTCCCAGGCAATTAATGAAATATCTACCGCGTCCAAATCCAAAGTGTCGCGTACCATCAATCTCCACAAAGCTGGAAGCTACCGAAGGCTTTCAATGCCCCACCCAATTGATTGGCGACCGAATCTGACTTAGACGGTCTCCAACGAGTCCGGACCCTCACGTCGTATTAGGTGGGGGATGGACTAACCGGAACATGTGGGCCGCTGTGAATTCAATGATCCGACAAGTTGATGTACCCAAAGTTTTCGCCAAATAATGTGGAGGCGCCGCCGATGTTTTCTAACATCACGAATAACAACTCGTTACGTCATCTTTCAATGATTGTGAGGCGTAAGTTCTAGCACCATCCTTCGTTCGGCCTTGCCCGGCCGGCTCTCCAGCGTGGCTCGGCTAAAGTTTTCCGAGGACCGGGAGGGGGGAGGGTTGGTATGACCTTCTGAGGTCGAACTCAGTTGGCGAAAGTCGTTCTGTTGTGGGTTCCAGAGAGAAGCGTAGAAAATGAACTGCATGCCAAACCCTAATGCAGATGGAAGGGCACGTACGCAGTTGAGCAAGATTTGTGGCCGCAGGGCAGACTCGGCCGGGCCGCAGCCATCCCTACCTTATGTGGAATCCTAACTACTTATCAATGTGACTGGTGAGGCCCGTTGACTCGACTATTATCTGGATATAGATCTTTTTGGTGCCCTGCGTAGAATGTCCTGGTCAAACCCTCCTCGACAGTTAATTGCTTCGTATGTGAGATAATTCATTTGGGAAGCAAGCGTAGCAAAAACATTAAAACACTACAACATTTGAATCCCCGCGACAATATTGTATTGTCTCCTAAATGAATGCACTTAACACGTACCAACCTATTCATTATTTATGGTCAAACCACACATTTCTGTTTCCAATTTAATATAAGCTACGTCATGACTGTTTACTCGTGTTTATATGATTAGTATAAACTAAGCCCACTATGCCAATACTTCTATGGATTTTTCTTTAAAAATAATTTTTTTGGTTCACGAGGATTTATTACAGGAGAAAATACAGTTTTATGATAAAAATAATTCAAATGAAAAAACATGGATTTTTATGCATTGAAGTTGAATAATAACTTAGAAATGAAGATGTTTTGATTAAAGAAACCAAAAATGACAAAATTTGTAGTTTTCAGCTGCAACTTCACGATGAGACGTCATGTGAATGAAGAGAAAATTAATAGTGTGAACACAATGTACAGGATTTCATGTTGATTCTCTCATAAAAATATTTATTAATTTGCTAATATTTTTCAAGAGGGCAATGATAATACTTTTTTAGAAAAGTAAGAAATAAGAGTACAGCATTTTGTCTAAATTTCTTAACATGATGGCACGTTATAATGGCTGAATGGTTTTGAGGTGAATCTCACCATGTTCTTAGCGTAATAAAACATGCAATTAAGCCGGTGAGTTCACAAGTTCCTCATGCAGTTCTACACCCAGATAACATCTTTGGAAATCAATTCTCTCGCCAGCACCTCTCTCTCTCTCTCTCCCTAGGTTATTTCTTAGACTCAACTAGGCCATCGGTCCCAGCAATTATCCAATACTTGTCCCGTCTCGTGAAGTTGGTGCATTCAAAGCTGAGGACTCTGGCGATCTCCCGCTGCACGCGGTTGGCGACATCATTGCTCGTTCCACCGTCCCCGGAGACCCTGTCGAGGAACTCCAGCCGGTACCACGGCCGCGGGTTCATGAGGAAGAAGAAGGCGTCGAAACACTTATGACCCCTCACCGTCGTCCCGTAGAACATTTCACCCCCCGCCGCGACGGCCAGCGGTACGATCCCGACGGTGATCTCTGCGAAGAGGGAGCTAAACCGGAGCAGGTACGGCTCCCGGCAGGTTGTCCCTTCGGGGCAGACCATCAGGTCGCCGGTCTCCAGCAGCCTCCGCATCATCTCCCCATCGCGCTCCCGGTCTCGCGTCAGACGCATGGTGGGGATCGGAGCGAGAATCTCCGACAAGGCGCTGAGGCTGTAAGTCACCGCCGCAACCTTCCGCTGGAGGATGACGCTGGCGAAGACGGGGTCGAGCAGAGTCCTATGCGAGCAGGCGTAGACCGTCCCCGTCTTCCTCTTCCCGGAGCCAGGAGTCACCGCCGTGGGAGCAACCTTCGCGCGGATGCGCACTCCCAGCGCCGCCCCTAACGCCGGTTGCAAGCTGAGGGGGAGCATCAGAATGTAGACGGCGCGGGTGGCAGCCAGGAGTATGCCCGCTGGTAACCACAACATCAAGGCCAAGGCATTGATCGGGCTTGGAGGTGCCACGAGCCGTCCGTCGTGGAAGATCAGAGGCTTCGGGTAGCTCTTCCGCGGCAAGACTGAGGCTTCCCCTTCCGGTGGGACGTAGTAGGCTTCCTACAAAGTCAGCAGACTAAGCTCTGGTCCACATAGAAAGAGTTTAGAGAGAAGAGAGAGAGAAAGCGAGAGAGAGAGAGAGAGAGAGGGAGACAGGGGGGCAGACCCTGCAGAAGTTCAGGAAAGAACGATGTGGCCCTTCAGCGAGACCAACGTCGAGGTCTCCGCAGACGCCAGACACAGCCTTGAGGGCGTCGGACCCAGGCGGCGCCGCTACACCCAAGCAGCGACCTCGGAACGTCGTCAGCTCCGCGCCCACAACCCCGGCTCCGTCTAGATATTCGACGATGAAGGGCTCCACCATGATCCGGGGCATGGAGGTGACGACGTACCTCTTCCCCCCGCAGGCGGCGAACATCCCATAAACTTTCTCTGCCGTGTCCTGGAGGAAGAACCTCGGAAGGGTGGCCTTCGCCACCGCCTTCACTTCGGCCACCCGCAGCCCCGCCGTGGAGACGAAGATCATGACGCGAAGAGCCGTCTTCTCCCAGCCGAGGACCTCCAACAGAGCTAGTAGGGGCGCCGCCGCGAGGAGGACGGCGCCCCTGAGCGGGCCGCCGGCTTCCAAGGCCACAAGCATGAAGTACTGAAAGACCCCCTTCGAGATGAGGAGGACGCCCTCCAGCTGAGAGACGACGCTATCCTTCTCCCTCCCCCAGCAGAAGAACGCCGCCATCGGGGAATACTTCACCATGACGAAGAAGGAGATCGACTGCGGGGGAGAGAAGTCTCCACGATGAATCAATCACTTGCGCGAGGGAGGATATGCCCTAAGCCAGACCTGCTCCCCCCCTCCCCCCCCCCCACCCCCAACTTATGTACTGACGAAGTACGAGAATAATTTGTTAAAAACCCTAATATTTTCATCGTTTTACTATACGCCACCAAGATCTTGTAGAACAGTGCATGTTCCATTAGTTCCCATTGTTCAAACAAGCAACGGAAATTTAAATATTGAATCGTTTGTAGAACGAGACTTCTACTTAACGAACTGCTTTTTTCTGACTCACATCGACTTCATGCATACTACGAAGAGCCACTTATTTGGGCCAAATTGGGCCGAAATTGGCCCAAGAGAGGTCTACTAAGATTGCTCGTTCGCCACTCTATAGGGGCCTAGCCCGAGTCTAAGAATCTCTCACAAGGCCCAGTCTAGGAAGGGGTTTCGAGAGAGAGAGATACATACAAGGAGGTTGATGGGCCTCTACTTCCACTTTGGAAGCCCAATTGTGAAACAGATGAACGCCAAGGTAAGCCCAAAACTCGCGAGCGGGATGGTATTTGGAATTCGAATTCTCACTTCTCCCTGATTTCTTTTTCATTTGCCAAACGGTAGTCGGAAAACCCATCCTTGCCCTGTCGAGCGGCTGATGATTCTTTCTCCCGAGAAATTGGGTGGGCCCATATGCGATTTAATGGTTTGAGGCCGATTGTGCGGGACCCACCGTTCCGAGAAAGAATCATTCAAAAGAGGCCCATAACAAGAAAACCGAATGAGGGGGGTGCGGGGTGGGACGACGATTTAATGGTGTTTTGACGTGACCGCTGTGCGGGACCCACGGATCTTATTCTCTGTCAATGCAGGCCCACAACAAGTAACAGAAAAGCCCATTAGGAGTGCCCATCATCTGGGCTTACCCCCACCTAACTGTCCAAGTAGTGGCTAGCCCTCAGGGCCCGAAGGTGAACCGTCGAAGGTTCCTTCCCAGAGTTGCACCTAATGGCCGCCTTGAAAACCGTCGGGTGGCGCCAAATCAAACGGAGAACGTTACCTAACAGGCCGTCCGCTCTTGACTGGAATGTCTCTCCGAAGTGTATAAAGTGACACGTGGCTCCTCCCTCCACAGCTTCACTGAGAACGGAGAGAAGACCACCCATGGAGTCCTCCGGCGGAGTCACAGAGCCGCTGCTGGTCGACGTCGACGAGAGGTCGAGGGAGGTGGAGGAGCTGTTCGCCTTCGGGAAGGTGCAATGCCGAGAGCTGACGCGGGTCGGCTGCTGGGAGTCGAAGAACCTGTGGCGCCTCTCGTGGGCCTCCATCATCGTGCAGGTGTTCAACTTCACGCTCAGCCTGGTCACCCAGATGTTCGTCGGCCACCTCGGAGCGACGGCCCTCGCCGGCGTCTCTGTCGCCAACGTCGGCGTCCAGGGCCTCGCCTTTGGGATCATGGTAAGAATACTGTGAGAAACCCTCGTAATCGTCTTTTTTCCTTCCGCAAGAATGGTCTCAAAGTCGAGGTCCCTCCCCCAACCCTTGTCACAGCTGGGCATGGCGAGCGCGGTGCAGACTGTCTGCGGGCAGGCGTTCGGGGCGAAGAAATACAGCATCATGGGAATCGTCCTGCAGAAGGCGATGATCCTGCACGTGGTGATGGCGGTGGCGCTGGGATTCCTCTACTGGTTCTCCGAGCCCCTGTTCCGTCTGGTCCGGCAGTCCGACGAGGTGTCGGCCATCGGGCAGGAGTACGCCAGGGGCCTCGTGCTGCAGCTCCTCGCCTACGCCATCTACCTGCCCATGCAGCGGTTCCTGCAAGCTCAGAACATCATCAACCCCATGGCCTACCTCGCCCTTGCCGTCTTTTCCTTCCACCTGCTGCTGTCCTGGGTCGTCATGTCCGTGCTCAAGTGCGGCATCCTGGGGGCCGCCCTCTCGCTGAGCTTCTCCTGGTGGGTTCTGGTCATCTCCACTGGGCTCTACATATTATTGAGCCCTTCCTGCCGGCAGACCTGGACTGGGTTCTCCCTGAAGGCCTTCACCGGCCTCTGGCCTTACCTGAAGCTAACGGTGGCATCCGCCGTCATGCTCTGGTGAGAGACTCTCCTTTCGTTTAGGTTTTTTTTCTCTCCTTCAGCTGATTAAATCGCTGGTTGACCATCAAATCCGTGGCAGCTTGGAGATCTGGTACAACCAGGGCATCGTGCTCCTCACGGGGTTCCTCTCCAACCCGGATATCTCTCTGGACTCCATCTCCATCCTGTATGTTTCTTTCCCATCTACTTCTTCGACTTTCCGTTTCTCCTCTTTTAGAATCTTCTCCCTCTGTTCCTCGATCATCATCAACTGTTCCTCGATCACCTGCTTTCAGAGCAAATTACTTGTCTTGGGACATGATGATCATGCTGGGCCTGGGAAACGCCGGCAGGTACGTAGATCCTCGCGTCGAGTTCCTTCTTTGAGCGTGTAGAGCTTGAATATTTGTTATTAGTTGCATTCATTAAGATTGATTCCCAAAAATATTTTCCTCGAGTCGTAATGAGGTAGTCTAGTTCTTTAAAAATACATGTTAACATATATTAATTGGACCGATGGAAAAAAATAAATGACAATCTTCAAGGACAGAAATTTGACTGATGAAAAAGAGTCATCAGTATTTCAACTAATTTTTATGAAATTAAAATATGATTACGATCAAATATAGGAAATTTCATTCCCTTTTGAATTTACTTATCATATAAAATGGAAATTTATCGGCGGCTTCTCAGCGTCCGCATCGGCAACGAGCTCGGCGCCGCCCACCCGCGGGTGGCAAAGTTGGCCGTTGTGGTGGTTGTAGGGACATGCACTGTCATCAACTCTATCATCGCCGTCGTCGTCTTCGTCTTCCGAGTCGCTCTGAGCGAACTCTACACCAGCAGCGATGAGGTCATCGCCATGGTTTCCAATATGATGCCGCTGCTCTCCATATCCATCTTCTTGAACGGCATCCAGCCCATCCTCTCCGGTGAGATAGGCTCCATCGAAACCTCCTAATCTCCCATACTCTACCTAATCTTGTGGTACGATTATGATTCCAGGCGTCGCCATTGCAAGCGGTTGGCAAGCAGTTGTGGCCTATATTAACATAGGTGCCTACTACTTCGTCGGCCTCCCCATTGGGTGCGTTCTTGGCTTCAAGACGAGCTTAGGAGTTGCCGTAATCCCCCGCCTCCCTCTCTCTCTCTCTCTCTCTCTCTCTCTCTCTCTCTCTCTCTCTCTCTCTCTCTCCCGTTTAACGAATTCCGTCTTCCGTATCTCCCAGGGGATCTGGTGGGGAATGATCATCGGTGTCTTCGTCCAGACGGCCACACTTATCGTCATAACAGCCAGGACCAACTGGAACCGAGAGGTAAACCAGCTACTCTCTGTCTGTCTGTCTGTCTGTCTCTGCCTCTCTCTCCCTCTCTCTCTCTGTCTCTCTCTCTCTCTCGCTATGTGCTGTCACCGTTCTCACTGTGAGTTTGTCAACAATGTTGCAGGTGGACAAGGCCATCGAGCGCCTGACGAAGGCGGACGACGAGGATCACTTGAACGGCGGCGCAGTCTTGGCACTATGACGACCGTGCTATCTTCCTGCGCCTCATTTTTACTTTTTTTTTCAGTATGTCGTCGTTTCTAGGCTGTCAGAGACAAAAACCGAAGAGCTTTTCTCCCCGGAAGCTGCCGGCTTCCTCCACCATTCTCGCCGGCCGGCGATCGCTCTCCCGGGGTGCTGTAGGCGACCCATATTCTTGAGGAGACCGCTGTAATCGACTCCGATGGAACGAAGAGTAGCCACACTGCGGCTATTAGATTCGAGGAAATTTTAAGCTCTTTTTGAAGATTTCAGAAAATCTCACGTCTTTTAAGGATTTAATAATGTTTCCAGAAAAGAAACCCCCCGATTTAAAATCGGCAGACATTTTCTAAAACGAGTATCAGTTAACCATCTCCGGTCCTCCTGAGTCAGCCTCGCTAGCGTTGACTATGGAGTCCGAGCTGCCCCAACCAGCTCCCGGCGAGGATCGAGCTCTAGGAAGGCGTCCACGAAGGTCAACCGCAGCTCGACCTGTTCCTTGAAATGGCGCCGACCTGTTCTATCGTTCTGTTGTGTGACAGCCGGGTCAAATGAAGAGTGGTAAATATGCTCTCTGTCGGACCTCATGAAGTCAAAGACACGCCCCATCACGTCTAAATTCCTCTCTCTCTCTCTCTCTCTCTCTCTCTCTCTCTCAATGAGTCCGTTGACCGCTCGTTCTTGTGATCGAGCAGCGGTTCTTCTCCGCTAGCGTTGGGTCCACTGACGAACTCCATTTCAGCGGCAGAGAGGATGTGGCGATTCCCCGCGGAGGCCGAACGCCGACCGGCCACGGCGCACGGCGGCACCTGGCTTTGCCCCCTGCCGCATTCCCCATGGTAGGGGAGGAGACGCTCGTTTCCCTCCTGCAGAGATGTAGGAAACCCGCCCACCTCCGGCAGGTGGCGGCCCTGGCCGTCGCCGGCGGGCTCCGGCGGGACGGTCGCCTCGCCCCCAAGATGGCCTCCACCTTCTTCGACCTCGGCCTGCCGGAGGACGCCCGCCGCTGGTTCGACTGTGTCGTCGACCCCGCCACCGTCCTCTGGAACATCATGTTCAAGGGGTACACTCAGAGGGACGCCCACAGGGAAACCCTAGCGCTGTTCGCCCGGATGAGAGTTGGCGGCGCCGCTCCCAACCGGTACACCTTCACCTTCGTGCTCAAGTCCTGCGCGAAGCTCCCGGCGGCGAGGACGGGCACGGCGGTGCACGGCGTGGCAGTAAAGACCGGATTCGAGGGGAATCCCTTCGTGGGAACCCTGCTGATCGACGTGTACTCTGCCGCGGCAGGAGGAGGCGACTGCGAGTCGGCGCGGAAGGTGTTCGAAGCCATGCCGGAAAGGAACGTGGTTTCGTGGACGGCTATCGTGTCGGCGCATCTCGCCTCTGGCGACGTGGGCTCCGCGCGGCGGCTGTTCGACCGGGTGGCGGCGGGGGCGGACGTCGTCCTGTGGAACACGATGGTGTCTGGGTACATCTCCGCGGGGGACATGGCTGCCGCGTGGGAGCTGTTCGAAAGAATGCCCCACAGGGACCTCATGGCCTGGAACACGCTCCTCCACGGTTTCGCCATTGGCGGCGACCTTGAGGAGTGCGCGAAGCTCTTCCAAGCGATGCCGAAGAGGAACGTCTTCTCCTGGAACGGGCTGATGCGAGGTTATCTCCGCCATGAGCGATTCTCCGAAGCTCTCTCCACATTCACCCACATGCTCCGGGCACGAGAGGTCTCCCCCAACGACGCGACGCTGGCGATGGCCCTGTCGGCGTGCTCCAAAGCCGGCGCCCTCGACTTCGGCCGACGGATCCACCTCTACGCCCAAAGCCACGGCTTCATGGGCACCAACCACGTCGTCAATGGAGTGATCGACATGTACGCCAAGTGCGGAAGCCTCCACAGTGCCTTGGAGGTGTTCGACAAAACGCCGATTAGAGACCTAGTCACCTGGAACATCGTCATCGGTGCGCTGGCGGCGCATGGGAGGGCAGCGGCGGCGCTGGGGCTCTTCGAAAAGATGAAGGCGGAGAGGGTGGCCCCCGACGGGATAACCTTCGTGGGTGTCCTCTCCGCCTGCTCCCACATGGGCCTGGTCCAGATCGGGCTCGCCTACTTCCGCTCCATGGCGGAGGATCACTCCATCGCGCCGTGGATGGAGCACTACGGCTGCGTGGTGGATCTCTTGTGCCGCGCCGGGCTGCTGGCGGAGGCGCTGGAGCTGGTGGGGACAATGCCGGTGGCAGCGGACTGCGTGATCTGGAGCACGCTGCTAGGGGCCTGCCAGACCCGCGGCGCCGTCGAGCTCGCCGAGCTCGCCGTGGAAAAGTTGGCGGCGCTCCGGCCGGACGACGCCGCGAACTACGTCGCGCTATCGAACGTGTACGGCGCCGCCGGCAGCTGGGGAGACTTCGCCAGAACGAAGAGGCAAATGAAGGAGTGGAACACGGAGAAGTCTCCCGGCCGCAGTATGATCGAGATCGATCGCTGGGTTTTCGAGTTCTGCTCGTCGGACGGGAGGCACCCTCGAACCGAAGAGATTTATGGAGTCTTGCGGCAGCTGAAGCAGTTGACGCGGCCTGATGATGATCTTAATTGATGATGCCCTTCTGCTACCTCCAGAGAGGGAGAGCGAGAGAGAGAGAGAGAGAGAGAGAGAGAGAGATGGCCGTCCGAACAGATTCAACGATGGTTCAAACGGCCCTGTAAAAGAGGAGGAGAGGCAGGGCCAGACGAACAGTCTGACCTTCCTATTCCTGGTCTCTACCTCCATCCATATAAGCACCTTCGACCCCGCCTGCCATGGCAGGAGCAGAGGAGGTCGGAGGCCCTCTGCCCGCCGAGGAAAGAAGACAGAGAAAGAGGCGCACACAGAGAGAAGCTGCAATGGGGCGAGCCCAAATGCCTTTCTTCTTCCTGGAGGGGGCGTCGAGCTTCTCTGGCCGCTCCCCCTTCTCCTCGGAGATGACCTCTGGCTCCCCCCGTTCTCCGATGTCCCCCTTCTCCGCCGTCGCCCCCTCGCGGCTCCTCTCCACTCCCCGGCCGCTCGTCCTCGTGACCCTCGACACCATCGCCGAGGAAGACGGTGGCGACGCCGCCGACGGTTCCCCGCCGCCTCGCGTCCTCCGCCAGGAATAGCCCTCGAGATTTCTCCCCCCCTCCCTGTTTTCCTCCGCGCCGGCGCCACATTCCTGGAGAAGAGATGTAAATCCGCTCTTATTCCCGTTGTGCGAGTAGGGACCGACCACCATGGCGGAAAACCAGTACAGCATCACAGATTTTGAGCTTATGATCATCTAAAACGACCATCCTTGGGGGAACAGAAATTCGGGTCATAAAACACGAAAAAAAATAAAAAATCTGTGGCGGGACAAATCTGAATATACTTCGCATAAATCAATCACTGCATACTATAAAATTTTTATGAGATGAAGATCATGTGAGAATCGGTGAGGAAGCAAGGGAAGGGAAAATTTGCTGTTTGCCGTTGAATCCGATGGGGGGGAGAGACCATTCACGAACCGGCGCTTTCCTCGTCGTCCTCTTCCTCGCTGTCAGCCTCCTCGAAGAGACTGCCGCCACTGGCTGCTGCTGCTCCCCCGGCGAGTTGCCGCCGGGTGTCGTCGTCGCCGTCGTCGAAGTCGGGCGTCTCCATGGCAGCGATATCATCCACTGGGAAGCCCGCCAGCTCGCCGGCCTCTCTCCGCTCCTCGGGGGTCTGGGCGAGGGAGAGGAGGATGTTCTTCGCCTTCTGGTCGGGGGGGAAGCCTCTGGCGGCCATCTCCTTGAACCAGACCACGCCGCTCCCAAAGTCCGAGCTCTTGCCGTGGGCATCCATGATGGTGGTGAAGATCGTCTGGTTGCCCTCGATCCCTCCCATCCGCATCGCCTCGTACGTCTCCATCAGCTTCTCCAGATTGTTGACCTTCGCGTACCCTTTCATCATCGTCCCGTAGATCACGACGTTCGGCTGGAACCCGTCCAGCTTCAGCCGCTGGAAGAACTTCTCCGCTCCATCCATGTCTGATGCGTTCACATACGCAGAGAGCATTGTGGCGTAGGAGCAGAGATCTGGCATACACCTGGAAGGAGGAGGAGGACGCCATTAGAAAGCTGCTACCCCACAAAAATATACCCAGTAGGGGGAGGAGGATGAGGGCCCACCTGTCCCTCCTCATGCTCCTGAAGACCGTCCGAGCCTCATCGACCATGCCAGAGATCGCAAAGGCATCGAGCAGGATGTTGTAGGCCTTCCTCGTGGGCCTGCAAATCATGGTTTTACTTCGCGTCAAAATTCGTATATAGAGGATATAAGCTGGTGTTCTGCCTGTTTCATCATGGATCTATGAAACATGACCCGTGTTTATTGATCGTAAAAAATAGAAGCAATGAGTTCTTTTTGAACCAAGAACTCCCCATGCACTAAACACAACTAATCAACGCGAGTACAAGGAATCTGCTGAAATCTGCTGAAATTTATTCTATAGTCTTGCACATAACAAAAAAAACCTATATTTAGGTTGATTTTCTGTCCCTGTGAGTATTTTGAAGTCGGTCTAACTTGAGAATCAAGAGATAATTATTCTACTCTTGCACATTACTCTCCTTCAAGAGATAATTATCGGAGAAAAAGAAAAGGAAATATATATATATATATCCCCGAAATTATTTCATATACACGGAATCTATCCTTCATATCTCAACACTTACTTTTCATGAGCGATTGATGACCACAAACCAGAAATATATCATCACTCTTCCCATAAAGAAAATTAACTCTATGGTTGGCGAAAATAATCAACCTTGCCATGAGATAAAGAACATTTTTTTTAAAAAAGGAAAATACTGGGCAGTATCCCGGACAGACCTGACACCAGCATCTAGCATCTCCTCAAAGACTGCCAATGCTTCATCTTCCCTCCTGGCCTTCCCATATGCACTAATGAGCAGCGCATAGCTCACCACATCAGGTTGAATACCAGCTCTCTGCATCTGAAGAACAACCACAGCGGATTAGAAGAATAAAACGAGTCTTCATCCTGCTTAGCGGTAAAAATTTCATTATCCCAAGAAATAGATGACTGACTGTCTATAGAGAGACAACTTACAATTCGTATCCAATTTAATCAGGGAACAAAACAAATTATATCCAGACAACAAAATAATTATTTAGTAATATTCTTTATTCCATTCTGAGGTTTGCATCTTGCCCTTATCTCATCTTCATTCCTTTCATTCTGCATCAATTTCTATGAATTATTCGATGAGGAATTAGTCAGACTCCAACAGTTCCATGTATATGCTTTATGAGTCTGTGGTACGAATATCAGACAAGAATACAGAAATTTAATTTTAAACAGAAACGTAGTAACAAAAACGGAGTCATAACCTGAACAATGAGCGCAGAGTTTAAGATGGACCCCTTCATGATTAGACAATTAGCATCAGTAGGACGAAGAAAATCTTAAGAGACCTTTTTAAAAAATTAATTTTTAAAAACTTGTTGAGACAAAAATGAAGTGGCTTCTTCATGATTTAAAGCGTGGGTGCAGCCAAGTTCATATGTGCAGGATCTAACTAAGTTTTGAGAGGCAGATAATGAATAAGACCATTGTGTACCTGGTCGTAAATGTTTGACACCTCCTTGTAGTTGGTCTCAAAGGACATAAGACTATTAAAAGTGACCGTGGACATTGGAATTCCTCTGTCAGCCATCTGCGCGAATATTCTACGGGCTTGATCATAGTTACCAGCCTTCTTGTGCATGTAGATCATCATATGAAACATCCTCTGGTCGGGCTTGAAAGGGGATCGTGCATCATTCAGAAGTGACTGGAAGATGGCTTCAGCTTCCTCAAATTTGTCCCCCTATCAGAGTACAGTGCTGTAAGTTACAGCTTTCCAGAGACATTTGCAGCCTACAATAAATACAATGCAATACCATATATGCAATTATCTCCTAAAAACTCCATCATCAGCTATCCTTCGCGTAGTTAGTTCTTAATGTAGAAAGTTTTTAATAGTTCATGGTCAAAAGAGCAAACAAAATACAAAAATATTTATGAAACATGGCACAGAAGAGACAAAAGCCATAGACTGATGACGTTGAAAGTCAGACTCTCCGCTCTTCACTTGATGAGGCAAATAGTCATCCACTTTTTCTAAACTTTATTCTTGATATTTCATTGACTTATAACCTGCATCATGCTGGATAAATTGATAAAAAAATAGTAAATAATCTTGTGGAGAATATGAAATACATAAAGAATAGCAAATAATACATTTTTTTACAAACTTTTCTGAAGTCCAATTTAGTAAAGAAGGCCTTATGTTTTCATACATGAACCCCATTCAGGCACAATCTTAAAGCTTTGGCATGTTGGAAGGGACCAAGTCGGTTAACAACCTCAAGAATAGATCCTCAACAGATATAGCAAGACATATATATATATATATATATGTATATGCATATCCTCGGAGAATAATAAATAATAAACAAATTAATGGCCTAAAATCGTATGGAAGGAGGGCCAATAACAGGTAAACCTGAACAAAAGTTTTCAGCAATATTTGATACGTTAATGGTGATGGTTCAGGCCCTGACGATTGCATTCTCCGAAATATTGCTTCAGCCTTGTTGTATTGGCCAGCTCTACCATATGCTTCCATGACAGCAGTGTGTGATATCACACTTGGTGCGTAGCCTTTGTTGTTCATGTATTTCAGAACCCTCTCGGCCCTATTGAAATCCCCCAGCTTTCCATACGCGGTGATCAGTAACAAGTAGTCCATTTCATTGAAACTCCACCAATGCTGACTCCTGAGCCACTCAAGAATCTATGAGGCAGAAAAAAATATATTAAGTCAATAAATGCCAGTAAACGAAGACAAAATTGGGCAGTGGAGAACATTGAGAGGGCGAGGCTCCCTGATTCACATTGGAGACCATTGAGGTAACGGTTCAGAGAATCATCTGGAGATAAGTACCTCACTAACAAGATTCCATTTTCTCATCTGCTTGAACCTCATGAGAGTACCAAGCACAAGATCTCTTGGGATGGGTTTGTCCCTGCTCCGCTGGGTTCTGAGAACCGAGACCGCTGAACCTGCCTCATCAATCTCCTTCATTAACCTCCTCCAGTTCCTCTGGTCTGCTTCATCGGCAGTGTCCTTAAAGACTTCAGCCTTCCTTCTCTTCTGCATGAACTTCCTTGGAGCCAGCATACTAAGGCAAACCACTTCCATTCGCCCACTAACCTTAATTCTAGGAACATATTGCTGGCCGATCAACTTTGATTTACTGCCAAAAAAAAGGAAATAAGAACAGGAATGCTCCTAATACACCCTCATTGATTAGTTAAATAATGATACTCTCTCATTATCGTGCTTGTTTAGAGGTGATAAGGAACCCGTCAATAGAGCGTCTAACATTGTGAATTAAATAAACACTAGAAAGCCAATAAGATAAAGAATCATTGAAGGAAAAAACAGGAAGAAAATCAAGACAAGAAACTAAAATATCATGAGGGAGGAGATACAGGAATTGCTCCTGGCCGCCAAATTTAGGTGAACATAAAAAAGCCAAAGAAAAGTGATAAAAAAACTGTTCTTAAATCATGGTATTCGAATTTTTTTACCAATCAATGAGGAAAATTAATATTTACACATTCTACCGTCTATCCACTGAAATATTGAGCAATTTATTTTCCCTCACTTCCCAGTCTGGACCTCCAGCATACCCGACAGTAAAAACAAGAGTAAAATATTCATGAACCTAGAAATGCGCTGGACATGAGTCCGCGTAATGCTTCATGGAGCAGGCGGCTTCCGCAGCCTGGGGACGCGAAAACCAGAAGATGGGAAGATTAAAGGAGACGAATTACCAAATGTTGGAGGAGAAGGATAGGAGAGACTGCGTCTGATGGACGTGTACAGCTTCCATTCTCTCACGGCCAAGCGCAATTCATCGGCAACAACTGCCGATCGAGAGCGAGAGAGCGAGGGGAATAGAGAGAGAGAGAGAGAGAGAGAGAGAGAGAGAGAGAGAGAGATGAGGGATGGGGGGTTCTTACCGCTCTAAAACCTTGGATATCTGCTCAGGATCGGAAGGTTGTCGGTCCGGTCGGATTCATACGGTCGACCATCCGCAATACCCGTATTCACTAAGGATCCGAAATATAAATTTGGGTCAGAATCCGACATGCAGTTACTAACCGATAGGAAAACCAAGATCAATTTATAACGAGAAGAACAGACACCGTTGTAATTAATATTTAATAATTAATTTATTAATTTTAACCAGATAAAAATCAGTAATTACCGCATGCATGCAACTGCTTTTTCTAGTATTATCGCATCGTATTAACTTAGTAAAGCCTGATTATTGTATGCATGTATATTTTACAATAATTACAGGGAAAATGAGAGAAATCATTTTCTAATAAAAAAATAGTTTATATTTAATTAAATAAAAATTTACTACCTCTCAAGGAAAGATTGATTCCAATTTGAAAACTATGGGCTGATTCCGTTGGTATTAGAAGCATGTGACAGAGAAAGCGTATGTATCTATTAAAGTAATATTTTTTACTTATGATGAAATTCAATTAATATTTCATGCCAAATAATCTTTCATTGTGATCATATATTGTTAATGGATGAACGTAGAGAGGCAGCAATTCATTTAATGGATCTTATATACGAGTCAATTCATTTAATAATCGATTGATTCTTTCTGCCATAGGTAGATCATGATGGGGGAATTATTATAGTAGCAGATCTTAAATCTGCTATGATCCACAAAATGAGAATAAATATAATTATATCCTTAATTCATAAAAACTCTTTATTTTATTAAATCTGCACGAAATAATTTTTATCACGTGCAGGTTCAAAACTTTTTATGATATGATCTTGTAAGCCTGGTCAACGGATGCACGCAGATTGAAGCATTAGCCAAGGGAAAGACCCGTATAGAAGTCAATCACGCGAAGGTCAACTGGGCTCTCCCCGGATTGCTGCAAATGGAATCCTTCGAAGTTCCCACACAAGGAAAAGGAATGAAACGAGGGGTTGACCGAACGAAGAACACAAGTTTCTGTATCGTCTGACATGGAGACGCATCTTCTTTAGTTCAGACATGGCAGGGGTTCATCTCCCCCGCAGCATCCTGTCTAGGCACGCCATGGAGCACACAAACGGAGGGCAACCATTCACCATGAGAATTCTTCTCAAGAGGAGGGTGGAATGTATTCACATCCGAGAGATCAGCAGGGGGACGGAGACGGAGGCCGCCTCCTCGCCCATCGCCGGGCAGAGGTCCAGGTCGGCGTGCCGGCCGGCGACGTGCATCCTGCAGTCCTCGGCGGCCATGAGCCCCGTGGCGAAGGCGCCGTGCACGGTGCCGGGGTAGGCCATGCTCGTCGCCTCCCCCGCAAAGAAGAGGTTGTCTACTGGAATCCTCAACTTCTCATAGACGTCGTGGGACTTGCCGACGCCGTCGTAGGTGTAGGAGCCGAGGGAATTCTCGTCGGCGCCCCAGCGAGAGACCAGGTACTGGATCTGCCACACACCCGTCGACAAATTTAGAGGTGACTGATCCCCGATTTCAAGCTCAAGATGGGCAATTGTGGTGTGGGGAGAGAAGAGGACTTACTGGTTCAGAGGCGTTGGGGAGGATCTTCTTCACCTGGGTGAAGGCGAAGCGGGCGGCTTCCTCATCAGTCATCTTCTCGATGTCGGCGGCGAGCCGGCCTGCGGGCATGTAGACAAGGACCGGGTGGCCCGTGGCCTTGTGGAGGTTGAGGAAGTAGCTGCAGTGGTAGGTGGTGGAGGAGACGACCCCCAGGAACTCCACGTTGGGCCAGAAGACGCTGCCGAAGTGTAGGGCGATCTTGTTCTCGATGCCGACTTCCATGTCGGCGATGGCCGCCTCCTTCCACTCCGGCAGCCCAGGCTCGAACTGTATCGCCGTCGCCTTGAGCACCCCGATAGGGACGGCGATGACTGCGACGTCGGCGATGAAGGTCTTCCCGTTGCCGACGGAGACCCTCGCACCTTTTTTGCCCCATTTGATCTTCGTCACCCTGAAAAAGGAAAATCACTTGTTGGAAGAAGATCATCACTCCACAGAGATCTAGCTGAACTAAACCGAGCCTCCACAGATACTCACCTGTGACCCAGACGAATGTCCAGGCCCTTGGCGAGCTTCTTGATGACAGGTAGATATCCCCGCACCATGAGGCCGTGGCCACCGGAGAGAAGCTCCTCCTGAATACCAATCGGTTCGTCATCCGAAAATCTTCTGAGCCTTTCATTAAATGCAGAGAAACACGCCGAGAAATCTACGGGACAATGAAGACTGAGCTACTTGCCTTGTCCCAGCTGTTCAGCGAGATCTTGTCTGCATCAGTGGAGAACCAACCTTCCATTCTGCAAATGTACCACTCCAGGACTTCGTGGGCAAGCCCTTCTTGTCTGCAAGCAAGTAATTTGCTGCATGTTAGGAACCTCCTCCGTTCCAGGAAGGAAGAAGCAAAAGACGCTTCGAAACACAGCTGAACCTGAGGTCTGGACGCCTGTCGAGGACAATTGTAATCGCCTGCTTTATAGACATGTCTTCGTCGGGACCCTGCCTCAGTTTCTCTGTCTGCATTGACCAAGAGAGAAGGTCAGTTATTTACACCCTCGACAGCTGCGAATTCAGTAAGAAAAATGAGGACAGACGGTAGAAGAAACTTGCCTCTTTTAGTATGGTTTCAAATACCTCACCCACTTTGGTGGCTAGTTGATGAGGAACCTGATTCCCATCAATGTCAAAAAGCGCGTAGCTGCGAATGGATATCAACGAATGCTAAGATCAATATATCAATGAAGTCGCTTAATCTGTCGTCCCCATATCAAGAAAATTTGCATTGGAACTAACGAAAGAGGCACGCATCAAAGTGGTAAGATCTGTTCGCTATAGTTGAGGTTCATAGGGTATGATCAATTGAAATAGTTCTTCCAGTTGGGTTACCTCTCCAGATCATGGTCGAAGAGCACAGAGTTGTCGCCACTGGTTCGGTAAAGGGGTAGCCCCATTCTGCCGATCACAGAAGCCAGAGGATTTTCCTTGCAGACACCATGCAACCTACATTATGTTAATCATGAGGAGCAATCAAAACTCTCTGGTGTGAGTGAGGCGAATACACACCATGAGGCACCCATGTCAACAGGAAAGCCGAATGAGTTGTCAGTGTAAACTCGGCCACCAAGTCTGTCCCGGGCTTCCAACAGAACAACCTGGAAACGAGGTCACTTAAGACTATCAGAACATGGATGAAAAACGTTAACGTAGACAAGGTTCTCCGTCAAACATGATATCAGGTTAAGATTTTTAGAGGTGACCCACATCTTTTACATACCTTAAAGGATGCATCCTTGAGGGCACGAGCCGCAGCAATGCCTGCAAAGCCAGCGCCTATGACAATGGCAGAGGGGGATAGACTCTGCTTTCTCTGACCAACTGAGTTAAAAAATGTACAGTTAGGTTCAGCCTCCGCCAAAGTTGGACGATATTACGGAAGATAAAGTGATCATGCAAAGTAAAAAGCATAATGACAATGGCTAGCTCATCATGCAAAGTGAAAAGCATAATGACTATGGCTAGCTACCCGTGGTAATTATGCTGATAAGGTTGAGGGAAGAGAGCTAATTATGAACAAACTTTCGAAATGAATCTCCCGACAGGGAAAAAAAAAAAGATAAACCAATTTTAGGGCCTCTGATTAATAAGAATACTGCTGATGGTCTTTTGACCAATTATTTAATATATGGCTATAAAATTTGAGATTTCATATATAACCATATCCCTAACTTTCATCACAGTTTATCTCACAATTTTGTCGCATTAAAAAAACATAAATAGTTAAGAAGGGATATAGCTTCAGAGGTTCAAATCTGTGGTCGATTTCAACTGGAGATTGCCTGCTCAGTTTGAAGAAAACAACTTTCAAACATCATCCAGAATGCTTCTAGATTAAAAAAAAAAAAAACACAACAATTCAAAAATATACACTGCAGTCCAAACTCTCTCGAAAAGAGAACCTATCAACAAGCAGCACAACAAAACGTCTCTTCATCAGCTGAAGAGTGCTACAAATGTATGGCTATTTATTTTCCGAAATTATCATGCACTAACACTTAAGGGCAAACAAATGAGGATTTACCAATCTTTTCTCCTTCTTGTCCACCTATGGTTCTTCTTCCTCACAAGGCTTACCTTGCCAAACGACAAGAAGAGGCCGAGTCCGCTTCGATCAAATCACCACAACCCCCTGCCTTGAAAACTATCATCTATACAATCGGGATGACATTCATAGTGCATCTAGGAGGAACAGAATATAAAAGAAGAATTTAAAATTATTCCAAAAACTATTCCTAGATATTTTCATCATCTTATCTTATCACCTTTCAACTGTTTTGAGGAGAGGGCAGAAATGAGAAATGCAGAAGTCGGATGGGTTTACTTTTCGTACAGTCTGAATACCCGACCAATTTTTGATGTTATAGCTGGCAATGTCGTCTGTTCCACTGGTACTATTTGCCCTTGTTAGATTTTATGGAACAACCATGTATATTACTTCTCCAACTCAATTTATAGTGTGACGCAAAAAGATGTTTGACCTTGAAGATTTCCCAGAATAGCTTCAATTTAGAATCATAAGGCACGTGAATCCAATGGTTGGCAGGCGAAGGATATTTTTATCCTTATAAGAAAATAAGAATAGATTAAAAATAGTATACACCGTGGACAACAACCAGCCAAGAAAGCTGTCCTGCATGCCCCAATTAAATTCAGGAAGGTAGGATATTCCACCATTAGAATAATAAGAGAATGTAAAAAAACATATCTTTTAGACATCGTCTTGCATGTCCAGTCTTATTTGACTCATATGTCTCAACTATTTAACTAAGTCCTGAACACCTCCAAAAAATAGGAAAAAATTCCAGGGATTTATTTTTGAGGAGGAAGGGCCTCACGTGCGTATGTTTCGGGAATAATGGAAAAGTGGCCAAAAATGTGCATACTCAAGATAGATCTTTCACATGAGCTATAAAAAATAATATGTAGGATCCACATTCTGTAGACGCACGGGAAAGAATGCACAGAACAGATGCCGCTCTGTACGACCAGAAAGAAAAAAAATGAGTTCATTTTGCAGATGCACAAGAGTAACATCCTCCATGATGGTGAGACCCAAAGGTGTTATAACGCTCAATCCTAGCGGGATGGCAAGTGAAACAGTTTTGACAGCAACCTTGAGTGATAGGCAACCCTATTTCTACTTCTTCAAGTATGTAAGATATATGGGAGATCCAAATATAATTTTCAGTTCCCCCAGCAAGCAAGAACAATGTGGACATAATAAATACATGGAAGTATGCACGGCAAATACATGATTCGTTACATAAGAAAACAGACATTCTCTCGGCATTTATGCAATTAAACATAGGAAGAGAAACTTGCGACAGGTACAAAACTTTGTTGTCAACCCTGTTAAGGATGGACATGATTTCCATGGCTTTCAGTTCTGACAAGAACATGTTTCCGATGAATGTACGGGGGTATCAGCGTCTCCACAGGAACAAAAGCTCAGTTATGTGAGTACTAACGGTAGATACATCATCCCGTAGGAAAAATAACACGTTAATGTCCCTATCTACCATAGCTACCGAAATACACGAATTAATTTTATGTTTATAAATCAAAAACTTGAAAACAAAATACAGCGCACAGATTAAAGATGACGATGGGCAAAGGGAAAAAAAAGTTAACGACGCGAAATTCAGAGCCGCTTAATTTGAAAAACAAGAGTGATCGTTGGGATGAAATTCTCTAGTGAATCACACAAGTCCCGTAAGTACGAATCATCAAATAATTCAAAAAATGAAAGAGTCGACAGAAGGAGAAGGCAGGAAAGGAGCAGAATGAATCACCTTTCTTACCGTCTCCTGATGGCGACTCCATAACCACCCTCTACCCCTTGTCCGATAAGTCGTCCTATTATAGAGTCTCTCGTTGTCCCCGTTCCGCGAATTCAGGGCGAACGGCGGCAGCCTCGGTGAGTGGCGGGGAAGAAAGATGAAGAGGCAGGTGAGGAAGTGATTAGAATTTGACGTGGTGAAACCCAGATTGCCCGGCCTGCTCATGCGTCAATTGCCGGAGGAAGACTCCACTCTTCTGTGCTGTTACGATCGTCGGCTACTCCCCCCTAGACAACAGCCCCCGAGCAGAAACCAACCCTGAAGCCCTAAAAAACAAAATTAAAATTCCCCCTTCGCTGCGCTACCATCCAGAGCAAAAGAAATCCGAACAGTCTGTACCAGCTCCCGCCAAAATCCCAACTTCGCGATGCCGATTGCAGCAGGAAGGATGCCGACGATCGGAAAAGCTCGAGGGGGAGAGGGATCGGACCGAATGGTGAGAAAGTTAGGTTGCCCCCGCGTGGATGTCCTCCTTCCCGTGCCTCTCGGGGCTTCTTTATAGGTTCTTCGCACCGTCTCTCTCTCTCTCGCTCTGATCTGCATGGTGGTGGTTAACGCCTAGTGGCTACTAGGTAAATTTATCCATGCCTCGCTCCACTTCTGAGCTGGTTGGGCTCACCATCCTCCATCCAAAATACGTATCTTCATCCAACGGTCAGGATGAATCAGAGAGCGGACGTTGTCCAGAGTGTGGGTCCCGTCCACGTGAGAAGTTTCTGGTTCTTCTCGCACGTGGCACACGTCAGCGAGTACAATAGTCGTATGCACGTCACGGCGTAGAACCAACCAGCGAAGACCCCGATTCCGTCAGCTTCTCCACAAATGTTCTATGGTTTTTAGGTTTTGTCCCTGCTTAATTGAGAGAATGACAAATAAACACGTGTATATTCTTTTGAGCATATTCCCAGCGAACTCTCCTTGAGAAATGACTAAAAGCCCCTTATCAGCAACAAGGTCGACAGAACGAGCAAGTACGGAGTGAGAGATGTCTAATGAAACGCCGCCTTGGACAAGGATTGGGCCAGGCCCATTTCATCGAGCACGGATCCAACATTGGATCGAGCCGACATCGGTCCACTATTTCTCTTCCTCGTGATTGCCAGTTAGTCTGTTTCTCGGAAAAGGCCCAAAAAAGCCCATTATACGAAAATGGACAATCCAGTTGGGCCTGGAGACGTAAAACGATCCAAGCTCTCTCAGCCCACAAACCCCGTCCCACGTGCTGACGCAGAACCGAGTCCTTCGGGGACTCTCCGCACGTGCCCCCGCCACCGTTCTGCCGACCGCAGCCGTCCACGTCGGCAGAGCGGTCAATTCACTGAAACATAAGCTGACGCCACCGACCCGTGACTCAGGGGCGTGGACCCCCCTTGTGATGGGTCGGTAGCTTGACCACAGAGTACCTGAAAATAATAATAAATAAATAAATAAATAAATCGCGCTTCTTCCGCTCGTAAGCCGGAAAAGAGGGTAGAGATTAAATGACGGCGGACCCATGGCGGCGCAGCCCGCCAGTCCGAGAGAGAGAGAGAGGGGTACGGTGTGCCGGGGGAGAAGCAGAGATGGATTCCTTCGCGGGGACTGAATCCGAAACCCGATAAGAGGGTGGGAATAAAGAGGAGAATAATAATGAAAAACAGGAGCACAGTGGGTGAGATAAAAGAAAAGGCGGTGCAGGGGACCTCGTCTTCGCTCTGAGGACCACAGCCACAACCGATTCAATACGCTACAGTAGCAGCCAGAAGCAGCGACAGCTCTCCCTTTCTCTCTCTCTCTCTCTCTACTGTTCGTTGGTGGGAGGTGGGAGAGAAACCCTAGTGACTGGGGTGAGGGGGTGGGAGGCGGGGAAGGGGACGGAATGTAGGGTGATGGGGAGATCTTCTCTGTATCGTTCCTAGTGCCGCACTGCCGTGAAGCGTGGTGGTAAGGGGATGGAAGGAGGTGAGTTTAGATTCGGAGCTCTCTCGCCGGTGAATTCGCAGCAATAGTGGTCTGCTTTCTCGTCCTGTACTCTGTTGTGAGCCAGAGCTGGGAGCGGTGTGCTCAGATCTGGCCGCGCGGGGGGCGGAGGTGGCCTACGATGTGGAGGCAAGTCTCCTCAAGTTTGGTTCCAACAAGTTTCTTCTGCGATTCGGATATCTCCTGTTTTCGCGTCTGTTTTAGATCGGATTTCTTCACGACTTGAGAGCGGCGAGAGAGAGGGAAATGGAAAAGAGAATTTGATGGTTCGTTCCTCCTTTGGCAGAGGCAGGAGGGAGAACAGAGAGGTGCGGGCTTAGACGGCACCAGAGCAGCTGCGTCAAAAAGCATCTCCTGCTGCCGCAGGGAGCCCGTACATGCTATGGGCTCAATCTCAGCCGAGTAAGCTGATCCTGTTCTCTCCAACCGCAGCTGGTTGGACAAAGTGCGGTGAGACACCAGCAGCCACAGGAACAGCTGAAGAGTGCTTTTTCTTTTTTTGGGGGTGGGGGGAGATCCAGTGTTGAAGGAGACGAGGAGGGGATATCCGTCTACGGACGCCATCGCCCTCTAGGCAGGCCTATTCTGATTTCTATTCCGTCTATGTCACTCTTATTTCTCTGACAATTTACCTTCATTCAAACTCGTCAATGCGAAGGGAGTAAGGACGACAGGGGCAGCTGCGGGGGTAGCGGCTACAGTGCGTCAGCCACTGTGATCTCCGGCCATTCCGGATCAGCTCAGACGAGACGGGAAGGAGAGGAGCAAGCTAGATGCTCGGGGATAGAGCACACGATCGCGGTGGTGCCGCAGACGTATGAGAGCGGCGGGATGGATATGACAGATGTCCACGCTTCCAAGCGTTTCCGTATGGGAAGCGACAGCGGCGCTGTCGGAGGAGGGATCACAGAGGCGTTGCTGCCTGGGCACAAGGAGCAGCGCCAAGGCGTGGCGGAGGCGGGAGCCGGAGCTCTGGGGCTCCGGCCATGGTACGAGTACCCTTCTACTGCGTCCAGGATATGTCGAGTCTCGCGAGCTTCTGGGGGAAAGGACCGTCACAGCAAGGTCTTTACTGCAAAGGGTCTCCGCGACCGTCGCGTTCGGCTGTCCGTCTCCACAGCAATCCAGTTCTATGACCTCCAGGACCGCCTCGGCTACGACCAGCCGAGCAAGGCAGTTGAGTGGCTGATCAAGGCCGCTGCCGTCGCCATCGCGGACCTTCCCTCCCTGGACGGCACCTTCCCCGACCAGCCGCTCCTCGAGGGGCAGCCGGGCAACGAGGGGAAACCAACCCGGATGGCTGACGACGATGAAGGTGTCGAGGTTGCCCAGTTTGAGTACGCCAACCATCATCAGGGGCAGGAACAGCACCGGCAGCAGCCGGAGCACCTCTCCCTCACAAAATCCGCCTGTAGCAGCACCTCCGAGACTAGCAGGGGTTCTGTCTTGTCACTCTCCCGTTCAGAGATCCGCATCAAGGCCAGAGAACGCGCTAGGGAGAGGGCTGCCACGGCCAAGAAGGAGAAAGACAAGGACGGGGATGATGGTGATACTCAGATTGCCGCCGTGGCCCGTCACCATAGCCTGAACCTAAATCCTACCACTCATAGCTCCTTCATAGAGCTTCTTACTGGTGGTGGTAGCGGGCATCAGCACCAGAATCACAACCATGGCCCCGTCACTGTTGCCCAAGCGAATCCCGCCCACGATTTCAACCTCAAGCAGCTGCGCCAAATGCCTACATCTTCTTCAGTTGTGACGGCTGACTACTTCAGTCAGGTAGGTCTCTTGGGGGGAGGAGAGAAATCCCACCAGTCTCATGGATTTCCCGCTCAAGGCAACTTCAATTTGGCCGCGGTTGCTGCATCGACAACCGGGGATCATCCGGAAATGTTGCAGCACCAGCAACAACAGCAGTTCTCTTTCTTGCCAGATCACCTTATCCCCTTAGCCGTTACGGCGTCAGGGGGAGATTGCATTAATTTCTCTATCTCTTCCGGTGTCACCGGGTTCAATAGGGGGACCCTTCAGTCCAATTTTCCGCCTCCCCAGCCTCTCCAACACCTTCAGAGGCTATCTTCTCCGATAGGTGGGTCAAACCTACCCTTCTTCCTTGGTGCAACCGTCCAGCCCACATCAGCCGCGTGGGAGGCTCAGCTCCCGAACGGGTTTGATAGTCGTCTACAGCTCTACTATGACGGATACCCGCACTTAGATCTGAAGGGGAAAGAAAAAAGCTGAAGCCATCAAAGAACATAGACGAAGTTGAGGAAGCAGTGAAACGGGTCTTTGATGATCTTCTCCAACTTCAATGTAAGGAATCACATTTCTCTCAGACACGTCCTCACTCTCACTCTCTCTGGTCTGTTTCCCTTTTGTTGCTTCTTCGGTGACGCATTGTCATTAATATGGTTGCATCGGATCAAACCAAACTGTGAGCAGATGCTTGCGGAGGCCTCTAGGTTTTCATCGCTACCAAGATTCTCTTTTCTTGAGATCCCCATGCGACTTGTTCTTACCGATGAGCTTATGGTCCTTTCTTGCGTTATTGAATAATTGGTTTCTTTTCATCTTTAAACATGTTGTTCATGGTCCTGAGAGTAGGTGTCAAGAGGGGTGTCACAGTAGGGTTTAGGGGCCCATCACCAGAATAAAGGAGAACTCACAGATTGGTTGGTTAATGACAATACATGCATGCCTTGAGGTTGGCTGAGCCCTGGAAAAGCCGAACCATTCTGTGAACCATTACTTCTGCCTTTTGAAAATTATATATGCTCTCTTTTCCGTTTTCATTGGAGGGCATGTTTAAATAGAAAGATAATCCATATCTCTTTGTTTCGAGTGTTAAACCTCTGTTTCTATAGCTTGTAGATGATGGATGATGCACTCAGATACGCACGAAAAGCTATATGTTTTCAGGCCTGGTCTTGTTTCCTTTCCTATTTATATTCGACACAGGTGTCTATCAGGCCTGCTAAGTGAATGTCATTCATATTCTATCATCAGGCTCTTGGAATGCGTTCCAAAAGTTGAAGAAGATGGAATCTTTGGCCCTTCTTTGCCATCGACTTAGCTGTAATTCGAAGGGTATGAGTTGACCCAGGGACAGACTTCCCCATTCTCACTTTCATTTTCAGCAACAGGTGTAGAATTTCACAGATAGATATGAGCTTCAACTTCCCTAGCTGTGGGAGCCCTTTTATGCTTCTCACACTCTGTGTAAATGTCTCCCCTCCGCCCCTCAAAAACATGTGCCATGATTGGATTAGTGAGGACTCCATATGGTTGTATTGGGCATCATCATCCCCTCTCTTTTAGAGCTGAAGAGAGGAGGTCTACTATCTTTCATATTTGCCCTTCGTTCTCAGAATATCTAGAGGCAATACAGAGTAGAGATTGGAAATTTTTGTGTGTTGCCGTAGGTGGTCGATTTATGTGCCCTTCGCTTCACTGGCAGCTCGTGTATTATGTTGTAGTGTTATACGTTTTCTCCCCATTCAGCTGGATAAATTCGTAGCTACTGTTTTCTAAAAGCTTTTAAATCGTAATTTTTCTCTAGCTGCATCTTGATTGATAGTTGTCAGGAGACATTGACCATCATTTCCTTTCCCTTACCCTGTTCATCTAATCTTTTAACCCTTCTATTGTCCGACAGCATCCGCCAGCATCCATCGCTGACTTTGGGTTATTTTATATCGTTGACTTGTTCAAGATCCAGCTCATGCTTTTCTTGATATTTATTGCTTCTGTGGGCATAAGAATGAGCCATGTTTTGCTGCCTCGCTTTCCATCTTGGTATCTTCTGCATTCCGTGATCACCAATGATAGAATGCCAACCAGTTGGGCTCAGCAGGATGATAATCCCATTTTTATAAGGCCCACAAGTTATATAATTATTTTGATTACGATAAGAGTTTTCTCTGAATCATTTGTATGCCATGGTCGACTTGGGATCTCTGATTCTCCCGTTGACATCTCTGTGATGCTTTCAGCGTGATCCCTAGAACAGCACTGACTGGAACGCCGGAATGATTTCAGGAGTGAAAAAGATGGCGAGCCACTGGTCAACGCTGGGCCTTCTCTGGATCATCCTCGGGCGACGGAGGAACCCTTGTTATCACTACCATTATCATTTACTGTTATTGATCTTCCTTTTCATCTTTCCCCGACGCGTTCGTCTGCGAACGCGGCGAACATTATGAACAGCTTTTAGGTCGAATAAGTTCATCCGTGTGTAATCAGAGCGAGGGACGGCTCTGCGACGGATTTGATGCCAATGGCAGTGTCGCCCCCTCTGTCTTTCGTTTGTAGAGCTGTCTGTGACCAATTTGCTTCACGAGTTTTTTGAAGACAGTGAACTGGGTCATCTTGTGGGGGTACGGAGGAACTGGTACACAGGGCCAAGCTTGATCGTCTTTAGAGGAAAAATCTCCCCAAGCCTTGAAACATCTCAGAGAGAGAGAGAGAGAGAGAGAGAGAGAGAGAGAGAGAGAGAGAGTTATGGAGGTTCTCATACATAGCTGGAAAAAGCCTCCGGTTCTAGCTCCGACGCCTCAAAACATAACCCTGGCGAGAGGGGAGGGAGGGAGGAAGTTTCAGTGCCATCTGAGCATATGCAGACGGCATGAGCACTGACTGCCTGCGCATATGCATGACCGTCGCCTGCCTTGAGAATTCCTATCTGCAACAACATTCCGGTCGCCGCCATGAGTAGAGTTTGTCCCATACAGTGGACTAAATGGTTCTGGTGTTAAGAATATGGATTACCGTACCTTGCCGCAGGGAGGAGAGTTGGGGGGGGATTCTCATTAGAAGGAATTCATCTCTAGGCAGAAGGTCCTCCTCTTGACGAGCTGCCTCACCGCGGCTGCGTACGGCTCATCGAAGGCGGTGGAGACCCAGCTTGTGTCCTGGCCCCAGCCGTCGCCGGTGGCTATTCCCGGCGGATCACTGGGCTGTATGGCCACCAGGGTGGCGCCCTTAAGCGCCACGCCGCCGGGCAGCTCCAGGTGCTGGGCGTACCACAGCCGCATACCGAGCGCCGGAACGAGGGTGCGCTGCGATGAGCCGGAGACAGACACGGGCTTCACCCGGAGCTCTTCCAGCTGCGCCCGGTCCATCCGCAGGAGCCCCTGGCCGTCGGCGTCCGTCAGATCCAGGTTCTGCAGAGTCCCGTGGTCGGCGACGATAGGCTGGAGGAGGAAGTGCCGCGCCGAGGCGGCAATGAGGGAGCTGATGGTCCACACGACCCTCAGCTTGAGGCTGCCGTTGGTGTAGAAGGACTCCGGGATGTTCGCATTGTCGTCCCCGCCGCCGCCGCCGCCGCCGCCGCAACTGTCTCCCCCTTCTCTGCAGTGGCTCTGTACGATGCCCGGGAGAGATCCGAGGCCTTTGTCGCAGGGGGGAGTCGAAGGCCCCTTCGCCGAGGAGAGGATCGCGTTGGCCGCGAGGATGACGCAGTTGTCCAGGGTGGAGCCGAAGCCAGCCTTCCACTTGAGGAGGACGCCATCCTCGACGCCGAGTTCCCCCGTCGGGAGCTCGATCCGGAGCCGGCGTATCTCCTTGAAACTACGGAGCACCTCCGTGGGCGAGTGGTGAGAGACCTCGGGGGAGGAAGGCACCGAAGGAGACATGGCCGGAACGGCGGGGAACGAGGACAGCCTCTTGTACACGGACGACGAGGCGCCGCCGGAGGGGCTGGCGAGGATCTGACCGATGGCCTGGAGAGGCTTCACGATGGCACTGAGGACGAGCCGGGCAAGATGGGAGAAGAGACCGCGAGGCTTGTGAGACGAACCGGAGGCGGAGGTGGTGGCGGCAGTGGAGAAGGATCCACCGGGAGGACCTTGTTCCTCGTCGGAGATGACGCAGTCGACGCGGACGACGACGTCCTCTACATGGGGAACGAGACCGTGGAAGCGGCGGGAGACGACGGAGCAGCGGCCGAGGGCCTTAACGTCGCCGATCCGGTTGAACACCAGCAGCAGCACCGAGTCCGGCAGCCGATCGAAGTCGTCCGCCGCCTCCTCATCCACTTCCCTTCTGTCTCTCTCCGCCTTCTCCTCGGTTCTCGCAGGAGGCCGCGGCCCTCGCAGATCGGACGCCAGCGGCGGCGCCACCATTCGGCATCCACGCAAATTCGCAGCGGCAGAGAAGCAGAGATCGCCGTCGGAATCCATGGTCCTACCTTGCAACCTCCGTCCCCGTCTCCGGTGGCCGGATCGCTCCGTTTCCGCTCGTCCTCCTCTCCAACCCTAACCTAGCGGAGAGCGAGAGAGAGGGAGAGAGAGGAGAGCTGATGAGAGGAGGAGAAGACGGGCAGAGCTCCCCGCGGCTCTGTACGGCACACTGCACCGCCATTACTTCACATCAATGTATATATAATATACTCAAGGGTGGACAATCACTTAATTAGCAGTCTAGCACCTAATCGATGAGAGTAGGTGGTTCCGGCCACAATATTCACGCCAGGGGGAGATCCCCAATTCTCTCACGCGCAACTCGTCAGACTAGTTCCGGGCACAGAAGAACCCCGAACAACCGCGCTAAAAACCAATGAAGATAATGCGCCCTACCAGCATCTCTCTCTCTCTCTCCCGCCCGCCTTTTCTTTAGTGAGAGAAAAGGGAGAGCCCTTTTCTCCGCTTTATTCGAGGACTGGCCTTTATCTCTCTCTCAGCCACGTCGATCAGTTCTAAACTTCTTGTCCTAATATCCTCTCTCTCTCTCTCTCTCTCTCTCTTCGAGAAGTATGAATTCATGGAGCTCGGGTGATGAGGAAAGAGCCTTGAGAATATCTTTCCGCTTTTTGTCTGCCAAAATCGTTTGTCTCTCGGCCTTTCGGGAAGAGGGAGGCCACCAGACCTCCATCTCTCCCGTTGGTCAGCTTTGGGCTCTCTCTCTCTACTCTCTCCCTCTTGATGCCAAAACTACACTACATGAAAAGGGCCCCGAGCTCCATCACCCGTGGCCATGCAGATTCCATCGCTCCTCTCCTCCCCTGTACACATCATTTGAGAGAGAGAGAGAGAGAGAGAGAGAGAGTAGTTTAGTATGGAGCAGGAGGCTCGTGTCCGGGGATTGTCGGGGCTCCAGAGAGCAGCAAAGCCCCTGCTTTCCTTGATGTCCGCCATTGTTGAGTAATCAAGACCCACTGCCCCCCCTGAGTGCAATGACGGCGTGCCCACTCTCCAACATGCCACGCTTACTCTCTCTCTCTACACTTACAAACATGCATACTCGTCTCCAAAGAATCGGGAAATTGGGTCAACGAAAGAAAGCCAGGAAATCAATCAGCAGCGGGCCGCATCGCACGAGAGAGAAAAGACTGTGGGGAGAAGGACGAGTGGGGGGGGGGGGGATGATCAGAACCTGTTGCTAGAGGCTGTCCCGTTGACTATCAAATACGGCACGGTCTGCACCACGAGGTCGATCGGGACGGCGAAGTTGACCCCGGAGGAGATTCCCGAGCCTGCGAGAAAAAACCAACGGAGCCAAGGAGATCGATCACGCTGTTCCCCGTCGGATCGCCCGGGGAGATCCATTCAAACACAGCCGGCGACTGCATCAAGATCATTCCGAACAGAGAAGGCCTCCTTATTTGGATATGGGAGGAGGAAGGCGAAGTACCTCTGCGAGTGAAAGTGGCCGTGTTGACGCCGATCACGCGTCCATGGGAGTCGATGAGGGGCCCACCGGAGTTCCCTGAACACTCAGCTCATCAGAGACTCTAGAGAGAGAAAGTTCTATCAATTGGATTTGTTTCCTAATTATTAGTGTGTTGTCAAGTAGCCAAAAAAATGCCTATTTTTGGAAGTTACAGACAGTCAGAAACTTGTAAGAATGATAAAAACATTACGCGAAGAGAAATATTTTAGGAATTTCGTTTTTTGTATTGAAATTCCGAAATATAATGTGGGTCATAATTTAGGGATGTTGGTGGGCTGGGTGAGTCCTAGGGCCGGCCCGTCTTGCTTGGTCATAGATACAGCACAATTTTATTTTCCGATTAAAATAAATTATTAAATTATGCGGTGGCGGATAGAGCACAGAAATCCTCGAAAGAGACAATCATTTGTGATAAAAACCTGTCGGGGTAAAAACAAAAAATATTACCGGAATTAATTGCGGCATCTGTCTGTATGGCCCCTCTAATGGGCCGTCCGTTTGGCGAGGGGATCTCCCGGCCCAATCCACTTACAACCTGCAGAATTACAACAACAGGCCTCATACATATGTCACCCAATATTGTCTGTCATAAAAAAAACAACAGAAAATAGAGAAATGTAACAATAAAATCATGGAATATAAATTCTTGCGCTGATAGCCTGATATTTTCTAGTGGTGGACACTGCAAAATTGTTATTATTATTTTAAATTTTAAATATAATAAACATTGCAAATTTATGAATTGGGGGCTCTTCTGCAATTCACTGGTTCATCAGAAAAACCTACCCCTATGGTGAGAGTGTTCTCATAGCCGTAAGGGTTCCCAATGGCAAAGCAGCTCTGGCCCACACGCAAATCACGGGAGGAACCGACGATGACTGGCCTCAGTTTATCTCCCCCAACATTCACCTAAAATATAATGGATAGCAAGAACATCACCTCAGCTGTATTCATCGCCTCTGATTCGAAAAAAACATAATATGAAGTGCAGTAGATGTTGTTGCCTTCAGGACGGCAAGATCGTGAGCAGGGTCGAGGCCTATGAGCTTGCCCTCCTTGGCAAAAGTATTTCCGTTTGTGTCCTGGAGAAAGATCTGAGAAGGGGCGGGGAGGAAAATAAGGAACAAGCACAATGACTGAAAGTAGAAGGAAGGAACTCCAAGCCCTCCACCTACTGACTTTACAGCGTTGGAGGCCTGTTTGATCCGTCGCAAGCTTCTCTATGACATGATAATTGGTGATCTGATTGATGGACAGAAGGTGAGAGCATGTTACATGGGTTTCCAATCGCTTAGAGAAAAAGATGAGTACTATCAGTAGCGTAAGCACCCCTTGAACACCGCAAAAAAAAGAAAAAAAGAAAAAAAAAAGAAGCTAACTCTCATCGGCAGTGAAGTTGATAAACAATATTAATGGTAAGTGACTGGTAAAGGGTTTAGAAAATAAATTCAGCCGATGAACAGTTTTTAAGAAAACCCATACAATCGAGAGGTTGTAGACCTTAAAAAATAGATAACCAGTATTCTAGGTATAGAGACATGGGAACTAGACAAGCTCCCCATTGACATTAATCCTAGTGCTCTGGACGAATTCCCATGAGCTCGCCTGACCAATGGGGGAGGATGAACAAGGCATCCATGGCAACCTAAGATTAATGGCGTCAATGCAAGGGTAAAGGGGCTCATATTACTAGATAGACCCCATCTTTTCTATCTTCTCAGAGGACAAAGAGGCCTTCTACGCTCAGCTGTCTTCCTTGAGTCTGATCCGCAAGTCATTTGCCCCCCAACTTTATCTAGTTTTTTCTGTGCTAAATCATCGCAGTGGTGATCATTTACCATAGGAAATTGATTTCGCTGGTGGAAGGTGATAGTTAGGAGAGATCGTATGGTCTTAAAAGCAACCAAAAAGAGGAAAAGTCTGGCAAAAACAGCTCGAATGAGCTTTCTGAAAATCGCTGAATGAAGGAGATCAAAGCTTAGTTTCTTGCTATGTAGCACGCAGTTCATGTCATCAAGAGGAAATTTCTGCTATCGGTCAACTAGTGAGCAATAGCTCTAGAAGTAATGGAGAAAGGGTGAACGAGATACTCACAATGTGGCCGGATTTATCCCACACGAAACCCGAGCCCACTCCTTCGACTTGAACATTTGCGCTGTCGTCGTCGTTGATCCAATCGTCATCCTCTTCCCCTCCTCCAGCTCCGGGCGATTCGGAGGTTAGGGCTGCAGAATTATTAAGAGGTCTCCTCTTCTTCGGGTCTCTCACCAACTGGAAATCCTTGATGAACACCACCGAGGGCGAGGTCTCCTGCAAAATCGTCATCCGATGCCACTATCTGTAGACAGCGGTCAATCAACGTGCCTCCCTACACAAGAACTTCACAGATTTGTGAATTGGTGGAAACAGGGGACGAAGATGACCTACCTGGAAAATGCGAACCACTCGATTTTCATCCTGCTGGAACTCGTCGTCCATCTCTTCCGCCGCTCTGGCGTTCTGAGTTGAAGTCGCGGAGTCTCTCGGATACACGGATCCGAGGAAGGAAGCGTTGAGAAGCAAGGAGGCGGAGGAGGCCAGAACCAGTCGCCTTCCAAGGTTGCGGCCGCAGATGTCCCTCCCCTCCGCCTTCCATTCCCCTCTCACGTCCAACAAAGCACGAGGTAGAGCAGGCGTTTTAGAAGAAAAAGAAGATGGAGGAGGAGAAGGACGAGACCCTGGGGCTACCTCTGCATCTACTGGCATTCCGGGGCTCGCCGGAGGAGAGGAAGAAGGAAGCAAAGAGAAGAACATCGTCCTTCACCCTCTCTGCTCTTCCCTGCTCTCCCCTTCTCCCGACGTCTTCCTTCACTCTCCTCGGTCAATCTCTTCCCACTCACGGAGACGCTCCCACCGTGTTCCGCACGTGCGCCTTGACGTGGGACGCCGACCGCCTCGCAGCACGGCCTCCAATGCAATCGGGCTGAACCGTGACCCATGATTACAGTTGGGCCTGGCAGCTAAAAGCCCATTAGAAGCCACAAACTGCGTGGCTGACCTTACTATATTCGGCACGACCCGTCTCTCTCTCGCTCTACCTCTCACGGTAAGAGGTCTATCCATGGTTTTTCTTTTTCTGGAAAAAAATAAGGCTAAGTTCATTATTTCCCTATATTTTATGCAAAAAAAAACCGAATTTGAAAAAAACTGGAAAAATCTGAATCAAGGGAGACCTCAGGAGGAACCCGTCTGCAGGAGGCAAGAGAAATTTATGGAAATATTCCGAAAAATACATCAAAAAAATAAAATTGACGAAGGTAATGAACAGACATCATAAACCTCCATTTTTTCATGACAGGGAAGCTTGAGCCAACACAACCTTCCTTCAATGGAGTATCATCTCTCGATTAGTCTATCTTTCTCATCCTGAGAAACCAGGGAGGTCCCGACTTCCTCTAACTCTTCTTTGTTGTTGTTGCTGGCGGCGGCAGCGACAGCGGCCTGTTCGCTGCCAACCTGAGTCGCTTCCTTCTTTAGCTTGTGATTGTTATATGAGACCACTCCTGCGATAGCTGCAGAACCAAGCATCTTGTGTGATTAACAGCCCCACATGACTAATGAGTTATGTCCGGCAGCAGTTTGTAGCATGAAGAACGGGCTAATAAATAGGCATATCTGTGGATATATATCACACAATAAATAGCAACTTATGAAGTCACTGTATGATGCAAGAAGAAGATATATTCATGCATTAAGCATATCTACACATAAATGTGTAGATATGTTCCTATGGTTTCAGTAAAAGAGGGGTAAATACGCTAAGGGAATCATATGTAAGGTCCCCATGTGTACCAATGGCGTAGCCGAGTAGGTTGATCAGAGTCAGCTTTGAGTCGGCGAAGAGCAGAGCCGACACCAAGACGACCAGCCAGTCCCTCACGACTCCAGTGACACGAATCGTCAAGGCGCTGGTGTGGGTGATGACGAGGAAGACGGATAGATTGAGAGCAAAGGTGCAGAGGCAGTTCAGAAACAGAATGTGCAGGGGGAAGTTCCAATTCGTGTAGCTGTCCATCTTTGGCTTCTCTAAGAGTATCCATGGAAGGAAGAGGCATAGAGCACTGAAGAAGACAGGCCAGCAGCATCCATGTTAATGAACCAGAGTAGCCATTGATGATGAGCAGGGATATGAACCCAACGTACCTGCATGGGCTCACATAGTACATGACTGATATGGAGCTTAGTCGGATGCCCTTCTTCTTAACGAAAATCTCCACGAATATGAGTCTCAAAGCTTCGCCTATGACGCCGCCCATTTGGTATATCACTCCCACCCAGCTGACGCTGACTTCCCCATAGGATGCCACAATAACTCCAAAACTGATGACAGACATGATAAAGAGCATTCTGCAGCTCATTACCTCAAGACCCACTGCCACGCCCAGAATAAACACGGCAACGGGCACTGAAAAGTTTGGTAAGCGACCATGTCAAAGGCACTTCATCATAAGAACATGTATATATATATATATATATATGTGTGTGTGTGTGTGTGTGTGTGTGTGTGTGTGTGAAAGAAAGGGCGGATTTGATACTTACTAATGGCTTTAAGCATTTGAGCAAAAGCCACGGAAATATATAGATATGCGCTGTTTCCCAACCACAGAGTCATGGCAAACATTGCACCAATTGGGATGACTGATGTTAAGTATCTGAACACCATAAATGAAATAGCATCAATACTTTTTAGAAAGCCCAGCTAGTAAATCCTGAATTGACGGCAGAAAGGGAACTAGCGCATTAACGTCAGACGTGAAAAGAATCAATACATTGTATGATGAGAAAAAAATCGAAGCATATTGCAAACTAATAAAGTTCACATCAATTCGCCAGATTAGTGTCGAACTGAAACTAAGCAAAGTGCCTACAATTATTTTGTGCTCTCCACGAAGACAAATATGACATAAGCACAAATGACCACATGAAACTATTTTTATTTCTCCCCCATCATAATTACTCCACTCTATATGACATCTACACGCTGTTTCCGTCTCTTTATCAATGGTTGTCTGAAAGACATTGCACTTTGCATCATACTTAGTTCCTGGTGATAATTTACTCTGCATGATTTAAACCGTCCCGATTTTCTCAAAGCTAATCCTCCGAAAGGATAGCTCAAGGCTCCTTCAATGTGTTCCATTTTAACACAGCACTTCTCACTTCTTCGATAGGAGAACATTAGGATATTTCCTAGCTCCTTGAATGATGTTTCATTTTAAAACTACCCTTCTCTCTTCTTCAACAGATGAATATTAACATAATTTCCAGATTCACAAGATGTGCTACGGTTTGTTATGCTCAATTATTGGCCAATCCTGCCTTTCTACGTGGACTTCATATCATGTTCTCCACCATTCTAAAAACACATTTACATTCTCCACCATTCATCAATATTCTAGTAGAAACTATATAACCAATGTCCGGAAGAAACTGCAGCCACGGTTATCATTTATATTATGCAATGCAATATTATCCAATGAAATTATTAAAAAAAAGTATAATTAAAAAATGAGAGAAACTATATCATGACAAAAAGTGCATAAAATCTTATCCATCCTGGCTTTCAAAAATATATAATATGTCTAGTCCAAATTGTCTTTATGCGCAACGGATTACTAACAACAGCAATGTCTTTATGGTGGATAGATAAATACTCCATTTAAAACCCGTTCAGGGTTTTCTGATGGTAATTTACACATGGGTGCTCACTTCCGAAGGCTTGTCCTTAAGTCTTAAGTGTCAGCACCAATCAATAACATTGTTTTCTTGACCTGGGGGAAAAATAGGCTAAAATCATCCGGGAGTGATAATTATATCATTATCTCATCTACAGATCTACTCTATAATGCATGTATTAGAACTACCTCTCGTTATCTTGCACCAGAGTTAAGATATATCGCATTAATTTCACCCAAGCTACATATATCCGAGTTCACTTTGTACTCACATTTCTGAAGTGATCCCCTCCTCAATCTTTATGAGCTGAGAAAAAATAAAGAAATAATCAACTAATACGCAAACGTGAAAATTGAGCAAAAAAAAACTTTGATTAGGTAGCTCTAGATGCAGATAATATTGAGCGCATCTCTTATTCCAGCCTTTCCATTAGATACGAATTCAAAAATCTTGGTGGTGAAATAGAATCACATATAGATTTTGGAAGTATACCTTAAATACTTTTGCGATTATGAAGCATAGCACTGAGGAGAAGATCATGTGAAGCAGGGTCAAGGCAACTGGGAAGGGGAAGTTGATTTCCTTGGAGGACAAAACCCACTGCAACCTCAAGAGCACAATAGAGTTAGCTAGTGTAGAAAGGTGCAGATAAACAATCAAGATGAACAAAAGATACATGTTAATCTCATATTACAGCACGTGAATCGGTCTGGGGGGAAATTCAAAGAAAATCGGGGCAATGCTGCCTCTGAACAGTTATCACGCATCAATTGACATCTGCAGCGAATCTCGGTGAGCAGGAAGGGAACTAACGTGAGGTTCTCATTCTCCAGGCATCATTTTGGAGACATAAATTAGAACAGTAGTGCGAGGCTTTTCAACTTCCAGCAGCCAACTCTGGGAGCATACTTTGCGCCGACGCAATAAGCTGGACAAGAAAGATAGCTAACACTGTGGACAGTGAAATTCCTAGGTCCAGGTGAGCAAATACTGCTTATTGGACGCATACGACAGTGTGAATGACCCAGTTCTTCAAAAAGACCACGAACCAGCACCATTTCCGTTCGTGGAAGTTGTGAAGATGACATTTCCTGCTGACCTTGTTGCAGAAAGATAAGAGGAGAGGAGCACGAGAGCGGAGTATCGTTTCCTACCGACCTTGTTGAAGAAGATCTGGGACCCTGAGAGGCTGATGTAGAGGAGGAGGTAGGCGTAGGTGATCCAGCCTGCCCTCGTCCTCCCACAGAGCCGGTCGTCCGCCATTGTCACCTCCCCCGCCTCTGCTTTCCCCTCGCCGGAGGGATGGCCCGAACCAAGCACCGATCAGATCTGTCCAACGCCGTCCCGCCACCTCCGGTCCCCTCCAACTCTCAGCCAATTTCTCTCTCTCTATCTATCCCTGTCACTCTCCCCCTCCCCCTCCCTCTCTCGCTCTCTAGTCGCCAATTTCTCTCTCTCTCCTCCCCCCCACCCAAACCCCAACATCCAAAGGTCCAGGGGCGGGATTATGGGGCCCAGATAGGTCCTCAGGTGGGTCCCAGCTTGACTTCGGCCCACTCCACCGTCAGAATTAAGACGACTGGTATTGATTTGAATTGGGCCTCGGAAGGACCTGCGCCATCTGAGCCCAAATCTGAGAAGAAAATAGATAGTGGTCCATCCACATATTGGGGCTCAACGATCATGGACACTTTTAATGGGCTGGCCCAGGACCAGATGTTTCCCGGCCTTGCGAAGGTCCACATGGTGTGGATTCCTCAAAAATAAATTAACCCACATAAGTACGCATACAGAATAATCTGGTTTCGGGATGGCTGAATCAATATAATGGATATTTTTCGGGGTTTTTTTTACAAATAATATTCCATATTTAGCCCATTTACGGGCATTATTTTTCGGGGGATGATTCCTCAGAAATAAATTAACCCACTGAAACTTGTTTCCGGATATCTGAGTCAATAATATGGGGATTTTTATAAATAATATTCCATATTTAGCCCATTTAGGGGGATTATTTCTCTGGGGCTGACCGTGAAAAATACGCATTATATTTTATTTTATCAATAATCTCGAAATATGACGTCATCACACCACCGGTTGGCACCTGCCTTTCGGGGATAAGGCCTGCGCTCAGCGCCTCAGGAAAATATCGTATTCTTTTATTTCTGGTGCATGGGTTCACGTGTGGGAGCTAATTTTCTGGCGTTCTCTAATTTTTCTCCCTCAATTTTCCGAAAAGGGTAAAAAGGAGCTAGAGAGAGAGAGAGAGAGAGAGCGAATGATGATGCTTCTTCAGGTTGTCTGGTTATGGGAGGAATGGAAGGATGGACGTTTGTGGATGAGGGCGCGTTGGAGATGCCGCTCTTCACGACCACCTCGAAAGGCTGATCCAGAACGAGCTCTCAGTTTTCTTCCTCCTCTTTTTCCTTCCACATATTCGGTTTATCCCTTCGCAGCCCCAAGCTTGTCGCCATCTCCATCTCCATCTCTCTCGCTCGTCTGTTTACAGTCCTCAATTATCACCAAACAGACGACTACACCACCTCTCTCCTACATAGATAGGACCCTCTTCCCCACCTCCGCATTTCCATTCCGTTGGCTTCTTCCATCCGGTGCTCTGTTCCACTCACAGCTACCACAAGGTGCCCTCCCTCCCTCCCTCCCTCCCCCTGTTCCCGTATGATCTGTTTTCTTCACGCGGGGATGCCTCGATTTCGACACCTGGGCTCGTTCTTTCCCCTGTGACTCGATCCTTCATCTCCTCCCTCCGACGGTGTTCTTCCTCCTCTACTCGACGGAGAAGGGGTCTCTTCTTGGCTTTCTCCCTGTTTTTATGCGTTCAAAACGATGATTCAGCTTCTATCTGGCCTCGGGCTTTGCCGCTTCCTGTTTTTCTTTACGCTTTCTCTCCGTGGATCATACGAAGTTCGACAGCTGCGCGTAACTCTGTTCCTTGCTCGGCAGAGTAGTCGCCCAAGATGGAAATCACAAATGTCAACGAGTATGAGGCCATCGCGAAGGAGAAGCTGCCGAAGATGATCTACGACTACTACGCGTCCGGTGCAGAGGACCAGTGGACTCTCGGGGAGAACAGGAACGCCTTCTCGAGGATTCTGTAAGCTCTTCTTCCTGTACCGATCGTCTTGCTCTGCATGTCCGTCTGGTGCAATGATCTCGCCTTATCTCATATAAAGAAGCACAAGGTGTTTGGTTTTATGCCGAACTGATGTGGCATGTAGAATGCTCACCGGATGATGTCTTCTGCTTCATGCGATGTGCATAGTTTATTGGAAAGCTAGGAGAGAAAATAAAAAATATTTTATCGTAGACATTAAGTGTCCCCATAAACATGATTACATGTGAAAAAAATTGATCTGGTCCTCCAGATTGCTGAAATGCTGGGAGAAGGATCAGCCCCTCTGGCGATCCATCCCCATCTATTACTATCCGCCGGTGAATCTGTCCTACAAGATCGTTGCTTTCATGATCTTGTGTGAATAATAATGTTTTTGAACTGTGTTAGTGCATTTCAAAGGGCCTTATTCTTTGATCATCGTCAGGTTTCGCCCTCGCATCCTCATTGATGTGACCAAGATAGATATGAGCACCACCATCTTGGGGTACAAGATTTCGATGCCCATCATGATTGCTCCCACTGCGATGCAGAAGATGGCTCATCCCGAGGGTACGTCCTCTCCCTGTGGTGAATCCGGACCAAATTATTCAGCAATTACCGCACTGAAAGTTGATTTTTCTTTAAAACCATATTGTTCATCGAATATCAGCTTCAAAAGTTCGAGTTATCATGAACCAAACCTGGTTTCTACGAATGGAAACCTTTGATGGTTCGAAGCCTGAATCAGTGTCTAATTCTTCCTGCAGGAGAGTATGCGACAGCGCGGGCAGCATCAGCTGCCAACACTATCATGGTACGGCGCCATTAACCTGTCGCTGCTTAGTATATCTCGTGATACGTTTGGCAAATGAAGCTCTTTTGATATTAATGGGGCCGGAAGGGGGATTATTATCTTACAGTGAGGAATAATCTTTGGTCACCTCATTCAATCTTCAGTCTGGGCCTCCCCTCACGAGCTGGGTGTTTAAGAAATTCATCTAATCTAGTTTTTTCGGGTGAATCCGTAGAGATGCACAGCTATTTCTTTGCTCCCATGAACATCTCCATCGTTCTATTAGATGAACTGAAGCAGGTTTTTAGGGTAATGCAGAAGCAGCTACCCTGCTGAGCCCTGAACTATAAAAATGGATGACTCCCCGTGCCCCACATCATGCCTCCATTCTTTTATATAATTTATACCTTGAACCTGTCGAAAATAATCGGGTGCCAACGCCAGGCTCCGATTTTTTTCGCTTTTCTTTTTGGTACTGTTCTTGAAATTTTGGGGCTTTTGGACATTTTTGCAGACATTATCATCCTGGGCTACATCGAGTGTTGAAGAGGTTGCATCAACCGGGCCCGGCATCCGCTTTTTCCAGCTATACGTAGGTTTATGGTGGTTTCAATCAAGCGTATTCATTCCAACTTTTGAGCCATGCATCGAAAAATAAAACCTCACATTTCTCTAAATTTCAGGTCTACAAGGACAGGAATGTCGTGGCGCAGCTCGTTAGAAGGGCTGAAAGGGCTGGCTTTAAGGCCATCGCTCTCACGGTGGATACTCCAAGGCTTGGACGGAGGGAATCAGACATCAAGAACAGGTTATCTCCTCGATCTCCGCCCATCTTCTTCAAAGTTCTTCTTCGTAGACAGCCATGATGATACTTTATTTTTGGAAACTTTTGCATAAGGATATTCATCCGGCCGTAACGAACAGGAACTTGACCGCGAAGAGCAACAAAAAATCATTTAGGATCTAACAATGTTCGTTTTCTTCAGATTCAATCTGCCTCCACACCTGACCCTGAAGAACTTTGAGGGATTGAACCTGGGGAAGATGGACAAGGCGAGTGATCCTGAGAGATTGACCTGCATCCGTCCTTTCACCTACCCTTTTCTCTCCGTTCCCTGATCCGATTTGGGTTTTGCAGACGGATGACTCCGGATTGGCTTCATATGTTGCGGGCCAAATTGATCGCTCTCTGAGTTGGAAGGTATCTCCTTGGCCACCTACTTTGATTTCCCTATCATTGCTTCTGCGTTTGACAGAGATCTAGGTGCACGCTGCTTCTATTGCGTCTGATCTTCGAAGCAACTCATAAATTGCCTGATCGCTTATGTGGGTGTGGCCTTTTGATTTGACCAGGACGTGAAGTGGCTGCAAACCATCACCACGATGCCGATCTTGGTCAAGGGGGTCGTCACCGCCGAAGACAGTAAGCACCTGAGCCTCGTTTCGAATATCTCTGACTGTTTCTCCAAGCTCAGCCGTTCATGGAGTCTTAATCTACGCTGCAGCGAGGTTGGCCATCCAAGCTGGTGCCGCCGGCATCATCGTCTCCAACCATGGAGCTCGTCAGCTTGACTACGTCCCCGCAACAATCAGCTGCCTCGAAGAGGTCTGCCGCTAAGAACTTGGTTAAAATATCTCCACTAAGAAGGTCTGCCCGCTGATGGGCATCCAAGAATACATGAAGTATCTATCCTCTGTCTGATCTACGGGATGGGACATTTCAGGTGGTGAAAGCTGCACAAGGGAGAGTCCCCGTGTTTCTCGACGGTGGGGTTCGTCGTGGAACGGACGTCTTCAAGGCGCTGGCTCTCGGAGCTTCCGGCGTATTCGTAAGTGCAAGATTCATCCTGTTGTAGAACGACCATCTTTCTTTGATTCATGGGACCGAAGGCGCCTGAAACTGGTGCGGAATCCGACAGATCGGGAGGCCCGTCGTGTTCTCCCTGGCGGCGGCGGGCGAGGCCGGCGTGAGGAAGGTGCTCCAGATGCTCCGCGACGAGTTCGAGCTCACCATGGCGCTGAGCGGGTGCTGCTCTCTCAACGACATCACCCGCAACCACATCCTCACCGAGGGGGACGTGAACCGCGCCACATCCAGGTTATAAACTTCCGCAGGGATCGCCGGCGGCCGCCGCCGCCGCGCTTATCCACCTTCCGAGGATCTTCAAGAATAAGTTTGAATGCTTGGGGAGTCGTCCTTAAAAAGTTCTAAAGTGCCTTGAGAACTTTGATCTACTTTACTCAATTGAATGGTGCAACTGCGACTAGACGCCGATGTATAGAACTCTCTATGCCTATTATAGCGAGTCGCAGAGATTCATCAGAACGGTAGCCCTCTGTAATTGGGCTTCTCCATAGAAAGCACCTCTGGCTCTCCAGAAGGGAGGTCATAGCTTACAAGTCGGCCAGAGGGCTGAAAGGGAAGAGTTGGGTCGCCCAGAAGGATCAATATTCCTAGGAGAAGATTAGAGGGAGTCGAGCATAATAAACATGCTCTTGTACTTAGTAATAGAGAGGCTTTAGTGGTAAGGACAAAAGATATCTATTTTTCTTATATTTTTAGCAGACTATGGCCGATTGACTCTATATTCATACGCATGCATAATCTAAGGCCACGATTGAATTAGATTCTCTCTTCTTGCCCTATCCATGAGGTATGTAATATTATTTGATTGAATTTATATTAATCTTCATTTAATTATTTCGGCATCTTGAAATTCTAGGAACCAAACCGTAGAGAATATTTTTCATGCATAAAGAAGAGGCTAGCTCTCTAACACCCATATAGACCAGATACACGTTGATAAGCATACTAGTAAGGGTTTCTTCCTCATTTAAATTTTTTCAACAAGGATTAAGTAAATGTCTACTTATGTGTTGGTAAGTGGAAATCATTTTATTTTTAAATGTCTTTGTAAATCATGTAGAGTCAGTTATTAGTCCCTTAATCAATAGTCAGTTAATAGAAAATAAGATTCTTTAGAATATTGTATTTATGATTAGATGATAACGTTAGTTTTATTTAAAAGATACCAATACCTATTGGTGTTGAAGATATTCAAGTAAACTGATGATGAAATATTTATTGAATATAAATGAATGATAATTTTAGTTACACAAATGTGTAAATTGTAATAATTTAAATCAAGTGAAATTTGCTACATAAATGTCAATACTTATGAGTAATTTTGAATCAAATGATTTGTATATTACAAATGTTGTCTCACATGTAAACTTGTGTTGGAAAGATTATTGAAAAACTAGAGCAATACAACAAACAAAGCATCAAAATTACAAAAGTTGAATTTCATGATATTATTGAGTTTAGAATTTGTTGAAGGAAAAATGATCCAGATTAGTAATCCATATGATTAAAATATATTTAGGGGAAATTGTTGCCATGCATATGAGCATATGGACACTTATTGAGAATCTTGCTTAAAGATAAATCCAAGGCAATAAAAACTGCATCAAAATCCATAGGTTTCAATTGCTATAGCATTTTATTATATTAATGAATGTATTTTTCTATAAATTCTCAAATATGTGAGTATCTCAATAAGGTTTGTTAAGCATGTTGTTGAAACGCATTATACAAATATGAATTTCACCTAAATTAAGGCAAGAGAATGAAAATTCAAAAGAGAAGCACTAAGGGAAGTTGAGGTTTACTCTACACTGCTCATCTTTCACCCCTATGAGACTCTAACAAATATTTTACACTCTTCAAAGAACTCAGGTATTATTTTATGTGTTTAGACATGTGGAAACTCAAAAGATCAATATATTTTCATTATCTTTAAAAGATGGTTATGCATGTCTTCTTCTGCAATGAGATTCACCACTATTGAAGAAGATGGTGGTAAAAGTCATATTGGATACTTGTTAGTTTTGTGTTCTTGAACTTGAATATGAGAATATACTATGGTCAAAAGGTTATCTATAACCTCATGAAAATCTGTTATGTAATGGGACATTGTACATGTACTCCATGATCTTTAGAATGGGGCATATTGTGAAGGTTGGTTTCATTGATAGGTATGCCACCACCGTGGGCTGCAGCTTGCCCATACAAAGGGGAGTGGGGCCTCTACATTCCCAGACTTAAGAGTTTTAAACCTAGCTTCTTTGTATTTTTTTAACAAATTAATGATTTATTTTTGTTGTAATAACAATGTTGTTAAATATGTCAACTTTTTCAACATCTTAATATCAAATTATTTCAATTTTCAATATTTACTTAGATGCTCATTTTCACTCTCACCGTTTTGTGTCACTTTTATGACATCTATATATATAATACGGATTACCAAACAAAGTAAGATGAAATTCAATGCTTAACAAATAAGGTATGATCTTGATTACCAAGTATATACCTTATTTCACCAATTACATCTATGCACCTACTAAATCAAACTCTTGGTAGTTGTTTGAACTTGTATGATGCCTTCTTCAACTTGCATACAACATCACTATTCAAACTTACATAAATCTCTATCTGATTCTTCATGTTAAAGATGTTTTTATACTACATTGTTGGATATTCTAATTAGATTTTCTGCTAAACAAGGTAAGATGTTACCCATATTCATTTTTTAATATGAAAATATTTTGATAATATGTCCTATAAGCTTGTGTAACATTTAACTAATAAAGCATTGTATCATTTATTTTATTTAGTCATATAATTAACATTAGATACCTATTTGCATCTAATCATCTTATTTCTTTATGGTAACTTGACTTGTTCTAATGCCTGATTATTCTCAAATGCCCTTATCTCCTTATTTATTATTATTTTTCCATTCCTCTTGAGATAATGCCTCATATACATTTGATGGAATTTACATTATTGTGATAAGTGAGAGATATCATATACAAAGATGGTGGATGTCTAAGTGACGATTTTTTTGAGATAGAGTTCCTAAATTCTTAACACATTTTCTTTCTCATTTCTTAAGTGCTATGAGTAATTCTTTATTATTTTCTCTTAGTAGTAGACATTGAAAATGAATGATAGATTCTCTTAGCTGTTGTTGGTATCTTGAGGAAATTTTACAAGTTCTTAACATTTAAATTCTTTTGAGGTCACTCTTAGAGATGTGAACTTCTTTGAAGGAAATATTGGTCGTAGGTAGTTCCAAACTTCCTATTCTCTACTATTATTGATAGTTTAATTTTCTCCCTCACAAACAGTTTTATTAAAATAAATTTTGTGTTCACTAAAAGTTATGTCAATTCAGATGAAATACTTCATTGATGGAGAGTGATAACACTTATACCCCCTTTTAGTGTTTGAATGTCTAATAAAACAAATTAACATATTTGGATCAAATTTTTCTTAGCTTAATTTTAATTATGGATATAAGATACACATCCAAATATCTTATGAACTTATTTATTCATTAGTTTAATCTGTGGATAATAGAATATGATAAATCATTAATGAAATTTTAAATTATAATTTAAGGTTGTCAATCAATTATAGTAAAATTTCGCCCCAAATTTTTTTGTTACATGATTTATAAATAGAAGGGTTATTGCCACTACTAATAGGCATCTATTTTGAAGCACCATTTGTGAGCAATCATCAATAAAGGTCATTAAACATCTTTCTCTTAAGATATTGGTAATAGATGATGGCTCTAGTCATCATTATGAATGAGCGAAAATGAAATAGTACCTTTTTCACTATTTGATGGAACTGAGGTATGTCTATGTTTTGTTAACTCACAAACATCACATTTTCAGTTTTAAATCCTCACCATAGAAAATCACTTGAGAAATATCACTTTCACCATTTTGAATGATGCATGACCAAGATCACAATGGTATACGGAAAAAAAAAAAGAATTCTATTGAGATAGAAGTTCTCGATTTGAATAAAAAACATCATTTTATGGTGTATTTCTGACTTAATGTTCTATGACAATCAAGTCCTCTACACTCTCAAGCATAATCAATATTCTTGTTTATCATTGTAGAATACACATCACATAGATCATTATCAAAAACTACCCTATAATTTTTATGGTTGATTGATTTTTTAATATAAATAAGATATTTATAAAAAATTAAAATGATATATATTCTTAATTATGCTATTTATTTAATTTTAATTTTTTAAATGAGAATTATAGTAATTTAGTAATTAGTGATCAATCAATTATGGTTATGTATTAAAAAATAACTTGAGGTGTCATTCATTTTGTTAGTGGCCCTTCAATCTAAAATCTAAAATCTATTTTTTTATTTTTTCTATTAGTAGTTCTCAACTTGAGACCCTCCATCTAATTGTGTATTTGCATTTGGTGTCAAAACTCCATCAAGTGGTTGGATGATTATGAGATGAATTTTGCCCTATATCTGAAGCCTCTCATGTAATTTGTAATATCAGTCCTGAATGTTTCATGTCCATCGACAATACGAGCTCCATCCTTTGGTTATGTTGTTGAGGTGAACCTATCTTTTCCTTATGTTTAACCATAGATACCTAGTCATCGGTATTTTATTACTCCGTTATAAGACTTTTCTTACTTTCTTCATTCCTCACTGTCATGATCACTTCCTCCACATTTAGAATCCTTTATTTTCTTAGAATTTGTGCTCAAACTTGATTAAATTCAAGGTTGAGTCAAATAAGAATTCTTGAAATCTTATATGTCTTTATATATTTTTGAAAGAAACATCCATCTTTTAGATACCCTTAAACAAAGATTGTAATTCATTTGCATATTTTATTATGAACTTATCGCCTAACAGCAAGGCCATTGCCATTTCCATTCCCCTTATTTTTTTCTCAAATATCCTTAGATGTTGGAAGGAACAAGTAATTTACATTGACTTCTGAAGTCATATTGCTCTAGAGCCATGTTCTGATGGTGGTATCTATCTCTTTCCATGACTTTAATTATAGATCTATTGATTTAAGTGCTATATCAAGTAGGTTGTCAAGTTTTTCTCTACCAATCAAAATAGCTTAAATAAATTCACTACACTTAAGCAAGTTTCTCTCATCTAATTTAAATTCACTCAAAATAATTGGCGACTATAAATATAATAAAAACCATTTTAAATAATGCGATGATGAAGATCCCATACCAACTACCTTATAGAGAAAGAGTACCTTCTCCAAAGCCAACTATGGTTGTGCTCTCACTCTCCACGAAGGGATATGATGAAAAATATAAGAAAATCTGGCAATAATCAATGTAAATAAGCTAGCACAGTAGATTTCACGATCTAGGGTAAATCAGATCCATCCACGTGCAATTGGGTCCAAGATTACGTAACACTGCCAAAGGAATGCCCCAAAAATCTGAGGAGGTCTGAATGATCTCACCTGGTGGAATTTGATATCAAGTTGAAGCTGCCCTAGTGGAGGCATTGCTACCACAAAGAGAGTTGTTGCCCTCGATGGGAGAGAGAGAGGAGGGGAATGAAAAATGAAGATTTTATTTAAATGTAAATGGATACGTGTATTTGTTCCTTCGAGTGAAGTTCCAATACAAAGTGAGACAACATTGATGCGGTGAAATGTTAAGAAAACAAAATTGGAGATATACACACACACACACATACACACAGAGAGGAGGGAGGGAGGGAGAGAGAGAGAGAGAGAGAGAGAGAGAGAGAGAGAGAGAGAGAGAGAGAGAGAGAGAGAGAGAGAGAGAGAGAGAGAGATTTTGATGTTCAAATGGTAAATAAATATTTCTAACCTTTCAAAACATCCACTAAATGACAAAAAATATTATTACCTGTAAAAGGCAATATTAATGAGAAATAGCGAAATACCATCCTTATGTATTAAAATGCTAAAAAATAATTTTTTACTGTAAATAGTTTTTTTTACTTATATGGAGCTAGTGAAAGTAAATTGACAAGGCCTAGTATAAATGCTAATAACGTTAACTTAATCAACTGCTTTTAAAGTATTTTTCTTATTCGTGGTTGGTGGTCAAGGTGTGAACATAATCCTTTATTAACGTTAGGTTTCTGGTGAAACGACTCTATGCATTTTCGAGATGAAAGAAGACGATTCTCTAGTAAAAAATTCATTTTTCGTCCAAATTTGGAAACAAAATCATGGTAAAGTAACAATTCAGTGGTCTTTTTGTAGTTTTTAATAATAAAAAAAGGGAGGCTCGCTCCCTAGTAAGGTTTGTTTCATAGTCAGCAAAGGCCATGACAGCTAATGATCTTATCAAGCCAGGCCTGATGTTTATCCAGATGGCAGGGGGCCCATCTGTAACAAGTCCCAATGCAACGGGGGGGAGGGGGATGGGGGTGAGATTCATGTTTATTCGATCTAACATATTTAAAACCCAGGTCTGGGCCGAAGGCAGCGCACATTATTTCTCCAGATATAGACAAAAAACTATAAAATCGTCGTTCGCCTCGCCGTATGGATGTTTATTTTACCACCACTGAACAGTCTTGATAAGATCGCCTTCACATTGTCAGAAGCGGGCCCAGGTTACGACGGCGCCGAGCACAAAGTATCCCGCCAGCAGTCGTCATTTACGTTTAGGAGAGATGTCGGGCGAGAGAATCTCGCCGCCCAGCTGCCGACGTGTGGAGCAAGGAACTGGTTTAGCCACAACGCACCCACTTGGCGGCCGCATATGAGCCGTTTGGCGCGTGTCTTGTTGACTTTAGGCCACCTGGCTCCCGGTCACCTCGCCACAGCTGATGCCCGCCGACGTAGATGCCGTTCTTCTTCTTTTTCTTCTTCTCCTTGTTTTTTGAAATCTTCGAAATCTTCGAAATCTCAGCTTACGAAGATCAAGATGGGCAAGAAAGAAGGAAAAGACGGATTCTTTTCCAAACGAGGAGAAATGGGGCAGGTAAATCTCGTCCTCCAACTCAAGAAGGATGCTTCGCCACGGCTTTCTCCGGCTGCTCTTCCTTCTGTGATGTGAGAGAAGCATCTTCCGTATAAACGGATGGCCTATTCTTCTTCGTGTAAATGCCGTCGAGGGCCGTCTTGGCCAGAACCCAGCCCTCGTTGCGCGCCGTGGGTTCTTCAAGACGGCGGCGGGCGCTTCCATGGGTGCGGGTAGGCGCCGGAACCCGCCGCCACGGCCGACAAACGGCAGCATCGAAGAGACACGGGAGACTGCATGGGACATTAAGGTATATCTAAATTAACAATCTGTTCAAGTTCATTGAATGACCCATGTTCTGGGGCATAAATCAATTGGAACCCTTGGAAACCTAACATTATATTGAAATATAAGCTTTCAACTGTATTTGATCATAGTATTTAATTCAAAATCAAACATGATTTTTTAGTTTGAAGCCCCCACAAAAACCTCGACTGATGAATGCTAAGCCCCATGCTTATACATCTCCCTCCTTTTACTCCCTGAAAATTACCGATTAACATTCATTTCTATACTAATACAGAGTGTTAATTGATAATTTTCGAGAACTTGAAGCCGCTAAAACCCTTGAAAATAAATATTCGCATGTATATATATATTGGTTTCAGTAAAGGGATGATTCTAAAATGTGGGGCAAAAATGGTGCAGCGGTGTCGGCACCATCGCTAAAGCTAGAACTGTTCTTCAATAATTCCAACTCGAGGACACCTCTCTGCCTGGCGGTCGCCGCTATCTCTCCCCTCATTTGGCGTTGCGACGCCCGCTATCCGTCGATCAGTTGACTTCCTCCCGCTACGGCAGTCTCAGCGAGAAGGGGAGAGGGGCTCATAGAAACAGTTGACTGTTGCAAACCAGGGTTTAATCGCAGATTCTAACGTATTATGTGCTAACTAGTGATGAGATTACTGCCAGATAATATGGAGTTTGAGCAATGACACTTAATTTTATTTTCTCATGATAATTACATGCGGTCTCCACGACGTGTTTCTTTGGGAATACAGGACACTGATCGATCTCCTCATGGCCTCCCCTTCCTCTTCTACAGCATGGAGACGGGCCTCTCCCGGCTTCCTCTACAGCAAAGGGGAAGGCTGCTTCCGCAGGTGAAGTTGGAGTTGCTGCCGGCAGCAGCGATCCTCCTGAGGGCAGCCGTAGGGGGATGGCCTAGTGAAGCCGGCGGCGGCGGTCCGAGCCTTACGCTTCTGGAGGAACCGCTTCAGAGACATCTTCATGAAAAGAGATGGGAGCTGCTGGGGCGGCGGGACGGCGGCGATGACGCCGAGCTGGCGCCTTCCTTCGGGATCCTCCTCCTGCGGCTTCTGGGCATCCGGCCTTCGGCCGACGGCAGCGGCCGCAATGATGACTCTCGCCTGGGCTTCTGTAACGTAGCAGACGCTGATCTGGCCCCCGTAGAAGATGGTCAGCGGCGCGGCAGAAGACAAGGCACCGTAACCATCAGCATATGCCGGCGGTGCGCAGTGCTCACCCCTGGTTCCCCCTGTCCGGAGGCAGAGCTCGGTGTCGGCTTCGCCGTTGCTGTCGCCGCCGCTTTGGAACCATCTGCCCATTGCTGTCAGATCCAGAGAAGGAGAGAGAGGGAGAGAGCGCTTCGAGAGGATAGAGGAAGAGACAGCTTGAAGAGTGGAGGACGACGCTCTTGTCAGCGACGGACGGGAAAAGGGGGAAAGAGGAGACGGATTTTAAAGAGCCTCTGTTTATGTGAGTAGGGAGAGGCATGTGGCAGTACAATCACGTGCGCGTAAGGATGATGGCCCCACAATCGCAGCCGCTGTTTCCACGTTTTGCACGCTGAATGTGAAGTCAATCAGTTTATTCCGCACGTGATTCAGGAAGAATTCAGCGGTCGACTAAATCCGGCTGCTCGGTCTGGACAGATTCGCTTTAAAAATATATATTTAGAATAAAATAAGTCTTGTCTTCATAATAATTTATTCTTTCCTGTGAGAAAATGTGACCGTCCGATCTAGATATAGATTGAATGCCTTCAATCTGATTTTGGATCCGTGCCAAGATCCCGGGCGCTGCTCTAGTGTGAAGGGAATACTGTACAAAATTCTTAAAATACTTTCTTAAATTACTTTTATATTTGACCTTGTGTAGTGAGCATAAAATAATAATATTCTTATATGCTTTAAAAAGTTATCTGCTTTTCTGAAAATCTCAATTCGCTCTTTTTCGATATCAGCTGATTTGCCCGATCGGGGTGCTGATCCGATCACGAGAAGCAAGCACCGCAGTCCCTTTTCGTGGGGTCTCAATCGGCTTCCTATGGCTTGGCTAAATTGGCAGTCTGATCGAGTATAGCACCTGGTGTGTGTGTGTGTGAGTGAGAGAGAGAGAGGGAGAGAGAGTGAGAGAGAGTATAGAGAGTATAGAGAGAGAAGGAGAGAGAAGGAGAGAGAGAGAGAGAGAGTGATAGAGAGAGAGCGAGATTGTAGAGAGTATAGAGAGTATAGAGAGAGAGGGAGAGAGAGAGTGTGAGAGTGAGAGTGTGTGTGAGAGGGAGAGAGTGAGAGAGAGAGAGAGAGCCATTCGGTTCACCTGTACATACTGGGCCCCCAAAATCTACACTACCAGTCAAGAAAGCTTCGGCAAAGTAGTCAGGAGTGACCCACACAATATCTACGGCCCACTAATCGTCGTCTCATATTCTCCACAGGGCAATCCAAGATGCGCAGTTCTCATCCCACATTCCGTTTAACTACATCTTTCCTCCACCGTTCTCTCCCTCTCTCTCGCTGTCTCTCTCAAGGCTCAACACAGTCGCCATGGTCCGTGCTCAGCCACGTCGCACATGTGATTCTGGTGGTGGGGATGAGCTGAAGGTTAGATATCACCATCGGCTTCCGATCGATGGAAGGAGCTGCTGTTTAAGCTATTGGGCCATCCAGCTAAAAGTCAATTCATGATAATCATATTATACCTATCCATGCAATTACAATACTTTGTTTATTTTTCTGAACGGGAACTATTTAGCACTCTCCGTCAAGTTTATCCCGAGTTGTGGACTTGGTCATGTGGACATAACCCACAAGCAATACTCAGCTCTGATGTCACTTTAAAATTTATATGGCTGTCTAGTTCAAGAATATCCAGAGACTAATTTAACAAGCCCGTCTACCTAACCATTAGATGGTGGGTACTGCTAGGGCAACTACATGATAGGAGGACGATAGGTTTCATAATTCAGAAGTTGCATCATCCAGCCAGTATCATTGGCTGGGGTCAAAGGGCTGAGATGGGGCTCCAGCCACACAAGCAATACTCGGCTCTGATGTCACATTAACATTTATAGCGCCATCTAACTCTCGGAGATTCTCCAGATACTAGCCTGACCACAAACCATTAGAGATTGTGAAGCGAATTGGTGAGTACTACTAGGGCAACCGCATGATGGTCGTCGTTCGGAAGCTTCATCTTCCGACCAGTCTCATTGGCTGCGGTGAGAGAGGCATGAGGACAAGCTTCAGCCATATATTTTCGGAGTTGAATTGGAGGCCGTAAGGCGACCTGCTAAAATGTGGATAACCTTAGTCTCTTTGGCACAAACTGGACAATCTCCAGCTGTCTATAATCCGCTTAACATTTTGTACAGGAATAAGAGTGTGTGGTAGGAGAGGATGAAATCGAGTCCTCGGCAATTGTGTAGGGTAGTCATATGAGGCCATATTTGTTGGCATATGAACTGGCGCAGCCGTTTTTTGGATGCCAACGTCAGTATCGGTGACCTCGCCTGCAAGAAATGCAGCTGTCTTAATCAGCTTCCTCCTTGATGGGAAGGGTGCAGTTGGATCTTTAAGTAATGTGGAGTTGGTGTGACCATACCTGTTTAGAGACGCACAAGAAGTTGAAAGATTGCCGAAGACATTATCTGAGGGGAACTCCACTAAGTCATCAATTATTGGAAATATCTTGGACAGCACGCCGCCAGCCGGAGCCAAGGGCCGTGTCTGTAGCAGTGGCACTCACCGTCGCCCATAATCGATTCCAATGTGGGGACTCTCTCTTTCTCTCTATCCACTCTCTCTCTCTTTCGCTCCCTCGCTCGCTTGTCGGCAGCTTTTACGAAGGAAAGGATTGGCCACGACAGCGGTGCCATGAGAGGCAGTACTTGACTGAGGAAGAACCAGCCACGGGTAAGGCGCCCGGACCATGTCTCCCTCTCATTCGACAACACCGACGCCAGTGCGACAACACTCGGGGGACTATACTTCACGTCTCTCTCCAAGGATGGGATTGGATATCAGCGGAGGTGAAGTTCCGTTTTTTCTCTACTGGGAGATTTCACACCGAAGAGAACGAGAAGGGACAATAATTTGGGCAACTAGAGAGAGGAGCGTTTAGTGGTTGGCCTGGCACAGGAGAAAACCAAGGATTATGGTCAATCCTGGCCTGCGCGGTCGCTGTCGCACGCCAGACCAAGGACGTAAGCCTGCGCCCCCCCGCCCCCCCCCAAGACCCCCCCACATACAGACACACACGATACACAGATCTAGATGGAGATAGAGTGTGGGAGAGAGAGAGAAGGATGGGTAACTGACGAACACGAACATAAATAAGTTAAGATATATGTTTCAAGAGTCGATTCTTCCTATGTGACGTCATCAAAGGTGGTGTCTGATGTTTTAAAAAGTATTTCTATTTTGTCCTCTAACGACGTGGGTAAAAAGTCAAAAAGGGCTGAGACTCCTACTTTCCTTTTGACTGACCTACCAGAGAATCTACCTCCTCGCTACTCATAACACGAATATACGGTTGAAGACGATCCATAGCCGTGCATATCTAACCGGTCAGTACTTCGTCCAGGTTCAGACCCTCTTCCCCCCTCCCCTCTCTCTCTAGCGCCCGACTGAGGAACGGCGGACCTTTGTCGACGGCTCTCCTCACCGTAAACAATGATGTGCACGAAACTGCAGCGTGTTGGTGGTGATCCCGATTAAGTGTTGAGAGATGGAGACGTTGACAGAGGAGCTAAACAGAAAAAAGAAGCAAAAAGTGCGTTTCCGGAGCAAAAAGAATGCAACCTACTTCATTTCCGGAGGACTCTTCCGTGCTGGCCCTCCTTGTCAACGTCTGTCTCTCATACCTTTGAATGTGATGTCAGACCATTGGAAGGTGTTCATCAACCGGGATGTGAACATGGACGAGTGGGATGAAGCCATCGCCAAGTGAGAGAAACTTTGACGTAAGGTTGGTCTAAATTCCTGACGCGGACTAGGGCTTTTACTTGGAGAAGTATATATTCCAACAGGAGGCAGAGCGTCGAATTGGGGTTGCCGTTCGGAAAAATTGGAGGTTGGCTCCATTTTTCCGAACGGGCGGTTCAAAGATGTAATTTGTATGCAATTAACTGGCCCAAGTTTCTATTTCTTCTGTAATGTAATTTGTACATTTGATCACACCGATGAAATTTCTCTCTCTCTCTCTCTCTCTCTCTCTCTCTCTCTCTCTCTCTGTGGTTGTTGTCTGCGTGGAATCAGGACACCGGTTGATCCTGGGCTTTATTTGGATAAAATCTGCTACACACCAGGCGAGATAAAGCTAATAGACGCGCCCCCTTAGACTGATACATGATTGTTTTTGAGGGAATTCAACCAACATTAATTATGGTACCATTAGGAGAAGTACAACATCCATAATCAGTTCCCATTTATAAAAGTCCATTAGCGTAATGGGGTAACCAAACCTCCATCACTCCTAATTTCTTCTCACGAGTGTTGCTTTCGTGGATAAATGACTTTCTTGACGATAGATAACTCTTAAAGCGGGGATTGAGAAGAAGTTTTAATACACAATCCGCGGAATATTAAACAATTGAGAAGCGAAATGACAAGGAATTTTCAAAGCGTAGTCTCCCAACTTGCTTGCAGAAGTACAACAACGACAGGCTCCAAAGCGAGTGGGCGAGCGCGCGCGCGCGAGAGAGAGAGAGGGTGAGTGAGTGAGTGAGAGAGAGAGAGAGAGAGAGAGAGAGAGAGAGAGAGAGTGAGAGAGAGAGATTATAGAGAGTATAGAGAGAGAGGGTGAGAGAGGATGAGAAAGAGAGAGAAAGAGAGAGAGAGGGTGAGAGAGAGAGACAGAGAGGGTGAGAGAGAGAGAGAGGGAGAGAGAGAGAGAGAGAGAGGGAGAGAGAGAGAGAGAGAGAGAGAGGAGAGAGAGAGAGAGAGAGAGAGAGAGAGAGAGAGGGAGAGAGAGAGAGAGAGAGAGAGAGAGAAGAGAGAAGAGAGAGAGAGAGAGAGAGAGAGAGAGAGAGAGAGAGAGAGAGAGAGAGAGAGAGACAGAAGAGAGACAGAAGAGAGAGAGAGAGAGAGAGAGAGAGAGAGAGAGAAGAGAGAGAGAGAGAGAGAGGAGTGATTTAAAATGAAGTGTTTCTATCCCACAATAACTGCTTGGACTCTGGACTGCCAGACGCCCAACTTGGGCTGGCCAGTTTAGCTATCTTGTCGAGGTATTATCAGTATTATAGTCAACGAATGACGGAGATCAGAGTCATTAACGTTGTATTGGTTTTCCAAGGCCAAATCTGCGAGGGGTCTGCCCCAAGACGGGGGGAAAATGCGTCGAAATCCCTGCTAACTCGGGGGCAACAGAACCATGTCCACATCACGGAGCCTCCGGTGGGGCGAGCAGGCGTCAGGCGCCTGGAGCGAGCCCCGTGACACGCTTGGTCTGATGCACGATTGCGAATGGGGTGGGAGGAGGGGGTGTACTGTCCTCGTGAACCAGGTCAGACCAGGTGTTTGGCGAGGCTTTCTCTTGTTGGCAGTGGCGGGGGCTCTTGATATCTTCCTTTTTAGTATTTAGGAGGGGAGTGGCTGTACGAATGCATTCTATTGGCCAACAGTGGGCAGGGTCACAAAGGGGAGGAGGGAGCGGGGCCCTGGCCACCGCCCACGCCTCGGAGATGTCACCTCAGTAGGGCTACCACCGTAGCCTTGCCCCCACAGCGGCGGACCTACCACCCGAATATCCTCGTCTCCCTGTCACCAAATGGCAAGTGGTTTCCTTTTCAAGTCCCCTTTCACAAGGTGCAATGCACCGTGTGCATGTGTTTCCGTTAAACCCAGTTCCCCTCCCGACAAAAGAGAACCACGTGGATTGGTCCGACGTGTCAGGTACATATCCATCGGCACATTCACCAGAGCCCTGCCCTCCCTCCCTCCGGCCCTTACATACCAATGATCGGAACGACGTAGTCTCACTAGCATCTCTCTCTCTCTCTCTCTCTCTCTCTCTCTCTCTCTCTCATAGATCATCTGATTGTCTAGAACTCAGTCTGGGGTGTCACCACATCTCCTTGACTGCCTCGAGAGCCCCGCCCCCGTTGTCAACCGAACACGGCTGAAGAGACGATGTCTCCTGCTGGCGGTACAATTACTTTCGTAGACAACTCCATCTCCAACATTAAACTGATCAGCAACCCACACCGCCTGAATACCCCGGAACAATCCGGCTGCCCGGAATTCCTCAGCCTGAGTCACAGTCCCCGGAGGCGCATCGCCTCCGGCCGCCGCAATGGTCCGGCAGTCGCTGCTTCGGACGCGGCGTCCCCGAGTCCGCTCGATTGGGAGGGGCTAACGGCGATCGCCACCACCAGCACCGCCACAGAAACCAGCGGGAAGAGCCTGGAGGGGCTGGACAGGCGGCACGGCGGACCCAAATGGAATTTCTTCCAACGCTGGGTAGCGTCGGCCTTGGACGCCGGGGAGGACGCATTCATATGCAAGGTGCTGGACAGGCTGCGCCCCCTGCCAGAGACCGCCAACCCCGCCGTGCAGATCGCCGGCAACTTCGCCCCCGTCGTAGAACAACCCGTCCGCCACTCGCTTCCAGTGACGGGCCTGATACCGTCTTCCCTCGACGGCGTCTACGTCCGAAACGGCGCAAACCCGCTCTTGGATCCCATCGCGGGCCACCACCTCTTTGACGGCGACGGGATGATCCACGCCGTCTCCCTCCGCGGCGGCGCCGCCAGCTACGCCTGCAGGTTCACCGAGACAGAGCGCCTCGTCCAGGAGCGTGCCATAGGGCGGCCGGTGTTCCCCAAGGCCATCGGCGAGCTGCACGGCCACTCGGGCATTGCACGCCTGGTCCTCTTCTACGTACGCAGCCTTTTCCGCCTAGTCGACCACACCCGCGGCACCGGCGTGGCTAACGCTGGGCTCATCTACTTCAACTCACGCCTGCTCGCCATGTCCGAGGACGACCTCCCCTACCAGATTAGAATCACCCCATCAGGCGACCTCCAGACTGTCGGCCGCTACGACTTCGACGGGCAGCTCCAGTGCGCCATGATCGCTCACCCCAAGCTGGACCCCACCTCCCGGGAGCTGTTCTCCCTGAGCTACGACGTCGTCCGCAAACCCTACCTCAAGTACTTCTGGTTCTCCGCCAGCGGTAGAAAGTCTCCCGACGTCCAGATCCCCATCGATCGGCCGACGATGGTGCACGACTTCGCCATCACGGAGAACTTCGTGGTGATCCCGGACCAGCAGATGGTCTTCAAGCTGGATAGGATGCTCCGAGGCCAGTCTCCAGTGGTCTTCGACGGGGAGAAGGCCTCTCGGTTCGGCGTCCTCCCGAGGTACGCCGGCGATGCGTCGGAGATCATGTGGGTGGACGTCCCAGAGTGCTTCTGCTTCCACCTTTGGAATGCGTGGGAGGAGCCCGCCACCGGCGAGGTCGTCGTCATTGGCTCCTGCATGAACCCGCCGGACAAACTGTTCAACGAGTCCGCCGGGCAGAGCCTGCAGAGCGTCCTCACCGAGATCCGGCTTAATCCCGGCACCGGCGGGTCCTCACGCCGGCCCATCGTTCCCCCGTCAGCCCACCTGAACTTGGAGGCCGGCATGGTGAACCCCGGCAGGATGGGGAGGCGGACGCGCTACGCCTACCTCGCCATCGCAGACCCCTGGCCCAAGGTGTCGGGCTTCGCCAAGGTGGACCTCTCCTCCGGGAAGGTCACCAAGTTCGTGTACGGTGACCACCGCTACGGTGGGGAGCCCTACTTTGTGCCGTCTCACCGCCAATCGGCTGAGGAAGAAGACGACGGGCACGTCATCACCTTCATGCACGACGAGCGTACGTCGGAGTCAGAGCTCCTGATCATTAACGCTGCAGACATGCGGCTGGAGGCGTCCGTCAAGCTGCCCTCGAGGGTCCCGTACGGCTTTCACGGGAAGTTCATCAACGCCACAGACCTGGAATCCCAAGCATGAAGAAAAAGGTTTTCTGGGCATCTCCGTCAGCTAGCTACCGTAGAACGATAGTACAGAGCGTTGCCGTCCAGTTGCTCTCCATGGTTACTGTGGTTTCTCTCTCTATCTCTGACTTCTGGCCACGTCATATCCCATTTGTATTTGATCAGACGCATCACAGTAAATATGTAGGTAATCTGAGCTATTAAACCAGTTTCTCTGAAGAGTGTCAGGGCTGCTCGGTTGCTCGGTTGTTCACCCACCGCTGGTACAACAGAAAAGCCTCTGAGCATGTATATTCCTCTAGATAAATGCTCTCAATAGAAGAACATGTTACAAGCTGGCTAGTCTTCGGATATCTGAGCAGTGCAACTCGGAGATTTGAAGAAACAACTACGGCTGTGCAATAAATGTTTTGAGTTCTATTTGTCAGACCCTGGCCCAGCCATTTTTGGCTGTCTATAGGATTGACAGAACGCTCGTCCTCATGGTTCCATTTGTAGTACCCCCCCCACTTCCTCCATCTCTCTCTCTTTCTATCTGTCTGTTTGGGTTCAGTGGAGTTCCATCAAAGCTTTGGCCCTCATCTCATCTGGCTAACCCCCCTCCGCCCTTGCCCAAACGGGTGGCCAACCCTCCTCATCGCACCAGCCGCTCTCTCTCCTCGGCCCATAGCCCCTGGTCAACCCATAGCTGAAGGCAACGCAGTCTTCAAACTTTTTCCTAGGCCCGGTCCAACACCTACAAAGACTTCACTAGGTCCAGCTGGCACACAGCTAAAACGCACCGATAACGCGGAAGTCGTCATTCACCCTCATGTCACTAGAATACGTCACCCCTTTGTCCTTGTACATCAAGGACGTTCTGAATGACGTCTTTAGTTGATCTACCAAACACATGGGGACTTGGGCTAAGTGAAGAAGACTACTCTACCCAATGACAAAAAGGTTATCTAGCTTCCAATAACAAAGAGGAAGTAGCAGTGACAGTCTAGGCGAATCAAACGGAAATCAGATCGTACTAAACAATTCGGTGGATTGTTTGTCGCCGATGGGCATCCGTGGTGGGTCCTTTCTTTGGATCCGATTTAGACACGAACTAGGTTGAACATTTGACACAGCTTTCGGACCGTCCACCCTCTTGTCACACAGAAGTAGCCCGTTAGGCCAGTAGTGCTACAGTGCCAATCAATTTGAAGTTGTATGGACGATAATTCAACATGGGTCAGCACTTACTATATGCAGTCTATGTATATCAACATCGCACAAAATCAAGAAAGACCCACGTCCATTTAGAAAATCAAGAGCACATGCTTAATTATGGAATCCTGTTGCAATTATCTGGAGGAAGAGGAGGAGAAGAAGAAAAAAGAGAAGGGGAGAAGCAAGAAAAAGAAGAGGAAGAATATGGAAACTGAGAAGAAAGAGGAGAGAAAAAGGTGCGGGAGAAGAAGGAAAAGAAACGAAAGTAGATGAAGACTGAATAGAAGAACGACAACAAAAAGGAAAAAACAATGACGCTAACAGCCCACATCAAGCTGAGGATATGTAGGTTATGGATGCTTCCTTTGTAAAAGACATGCTTTAGCAGATCCAAAAAGACGGTTAATAATGATAAAAACAATCTGATTGATAAAGCAATTGCTAATAATAATTTTTTTTATAGAGTTTAATTTTTTTCCTAATCAAGTAGCAATTGATCTCAACATGTTCTGTCCAGCCATCTTATATTATATAATTAACGTCATTTAAAGTTGCTTTGTCATTAAAAATAGTCTAATGAAAACGAAATCTTGATTCCATGGGTGTGAGGAAGAAATAACAAACACAATAGTAATGTCAGGCAATGTGCTGTGACATTAAACTTCTGCATTAGTTTTTACATGTAGAATTTACTTTCTCCTGCACATCACTAAAGTTTTGCCAAGATAGGTGCAATATTTCACAATTGGCTTCAAAGATTATGACATCTAACTCTCAATCAACATGATAGCTTGTAACTTGTACGTTTTGGGTGGTAGAATATACTATACGTTGATGTGGACTTGATTCATCCAAGGATTCCTTCTATAGTTGGTATAAAATAATGAAAAAATGGATTCACACCATCAATAGTGAAAGTTATTTTAAGGCTTATAAAACTAAAACGTACAAGCGTACTCACCAAATTTTTGATTGTTCCTATCATCAACATCAAAGGGAATCTTTCATTCTAGCATATATAAACCAAAATTCACTTCAATGAGTTATGTTAGGTTTTCAACAAATCTGTTCTTTTAGCCGATCCCTACCATATTTTATGTGACAAAGAAAATTGTTTTATTTGTACCCAATCATGAACCTGCCAAAGCATGCTCAACAAAACAGAATCTTCTTTTATTCGTAAAGCATGTCATGTGTTGTATACTTGAGGAAACACTGCATATAAACTTCCTCTAAAAGATCATCATTTAAAAATATGTTTTTCACATGCAATTGACATTACTTCCAAGAATATTACATATTGAGAGAAAACGAAACTCCCAAAGTAATTTGTTGACATTACTTCCACTAATTTGTCCACTAGTGGTAAAGTAAAATGATGATTAATGTTGTTTATTTGTGTAGATCCGTGTGAAAATAATTATTTTTTTTTTCAATTTATTCATATTAATGCTTAACATCTGATAATGATGAACCACTCGGAAGCATCTAGTTTCTTCCCTTTTGAGGGATTCGAAAGCCCTCGAGTTTTATTTCTCTCAAAAACTCTTGTTTTCACATGTATTTCATATAACTTTAAATCTCTCATGACATCTATAAGGAAGTGTAATTAGTGAACATTAAAAAAAGAAAAGAAAAGAATGAGTAACCTAAAAATAAGTGGGAGACATAACATTGAAATTTATCAGTGACTTAGAATGTAAGATTCATAATCAATAGAAGCAATTATTGAGTTATGGTTTTACTTATTATGACTTTGATGAATTTTTAGACATTAATATGGAATCATGAAATTGATAATATGAGATATAAATTTAATTAGATATTGATGTACTAGATAAGATTAAAAAGTGTAAATATTTTAGCAAATAATTAAGGTTCAGAAAATAGGAAATATCTCATTCTATTTTAAATTCTCATTAATGGAGAAAAATGTTAGACTATGTGATTATAACGACAATAATACATATATGTGAGGTAAATTATTATAATCCTATGTATAAGCTTTGATACTTGAATTTTTTGTATTAAATGGCTTCAATAATACATAAATATCAACGATATAAAGGTATTTAAATAAGGATTGAAATGAAATAAATTTCAAAAACAATTATGTAAGGCTTTGATTTGTCATTGATTTTATAAGATTACCAATTCAATATGTTCACATAGGGGTAAAATAATCTAAAGGTTTGACCCTTCTTATTAAAATAAGTTTTATTTCAGAAAATATGTGAAATATATAGGCATCAATGAAATAATAATCTAAAGATGAGACTATAGCTGAAAACCACCTATCAAAATTCGAAGTATTAAGAGAGTTATGCAACTTTCAATCTTTATGATGTTTTTCTAATATTTTTTAGAAATAGTGTGTGGTCAGTTAAGGTCCACTTAAATCTGACCGTTTGATGCAATAATAGATAAAAGTGGGCAGTCTAACTTGCCCCATAAAGGGGGCATTTTGCCCAAATTAGGGCAAAGAGAAAATACACGATTTTTAGACAATGACGGTTGGTTCAACAAACATTCTAAGTCTCAAACGCTTCCTCTCATGGCCCAACACTTTTCAATTCCTTCATAAACTCTTGGTAGATCAAAATGACATTGGAAGGCTGTCATATTATTTTTCTAGATTGTCACTTGCTTGTGTCCAAATCTACGGTGTGCTATGATTAATTGAGACTGGAGGGTTTCATTAGACCTTCATCTTACTCAATCAAAAGAAATAGTATATATTAATAATTGAAGTGCTTATTCATGCAACTAAGTAGCAAAGGTAAGTCAGGTTGTCTCATCAAGAAATTATGAATTGAGCTCTATTCAATTGTTGATTAAAGAGGAAAGGAAGGATTAAGATGTCACAAAGGAGGAGAAATTGGGGGTGGAGTGATGAGAAGGATGATTGTTGACGAGAGATGAAATTAGTTGAAAAGTGGATGTAATCATGCAATCAAACAGATCACGTGATTAGTTCTAACACTAACTAAGATCTAATTCTTATCTAATAACATCCAAATCACAAATTACCTTGAAACCAACTTGATTGTTTTCATGTCTCCATCCTTATTTCCACCAAGAGTAGATGATCACTGATAGCTATGGGAGTGAATCTAGTTCAGGGCAAGGAGCTCAGTGATTTTTGGATGAACACATGTGGATCACAAGATGTGGAGCTTGGGACCCTTCAAGTACTTCTAGGATGGCAACAGCCTAAAGTTTCACTAAGATAAGGTGAAGTTATAACTATTTGATACACCATTTATAAGGCAATGTCCCTCCTCTCTCTTTGTCTCTCTCTCTCTCTCTCATGTACATGATTTGATCAAGAGATCAATGGTTATGCTTCCTCCATTCTTTCATAATTAGCCCTTAGATATTCACATCACAATGCTGAATTCTCAGCCCTTTGATAACAGTTAGGTTTTCACATAGTCATCTACTCCATTAGATCTTCCTTCAAGTTTTCTCATGTCTTGACGAGTAAGTATTATGACTACTAGATCAATGCTCCCCTTGTACTGAATAGTTGATCTTCCTATACAATAAATATTCATTTATCACTACAAACTAATTAATTATCTCTTTAATTTTTGTATTAATGAATCATGATAAGTATGAATTACTATATTTCATCATATTAGAGCAAAGGTCAAAAGATATGTATAAATGACTCTAAAATTAGCTATATCAACATCATGCATTTATGAATTTAATTACTAATATTTTTTAATATTTGTACAAGGTTTATCATCTTGAGAATTTATCTTAATTTATCATGAATAGAGGTTAAAGTTTTGAAATTTTATTAAAAGTAGA